ACCATTTGCATATAAAGCTTTATGAGCATATGCTGCAATTATTTTTTTTTAATCAAGACAGGGTTTCTCTGTAGCTTTGGAGCCTGTCCTGGAACTAGCTCTTGTAGACCAGGTTGGCCTCGAGCTCACAGAGATCTGCCTGCCTCTGCCTCCTGAGTGCTGGGATTAAAGGTGTGCACCACCATTGCCCGGCCACTGCAATTATTTATTCATTTATGTATTTATGTATTTATTTATTTATTTTTATTGTGTATACAATATTCTGTCTATGTGCATGCCTGAAGAGGGCACCAGGCCTCATTACAGGTGGTTGTGAGCCACCATGTCGTTGCCGGGAATTGAACTCAGGACCTTTGGAAGAGCAGGCAATGCTCTTAACCACTGAGCCATCTCTCCAGCCCCGGCCGCTGCAATTATTATTATTGAGCTAGTTAGTCTAGATCTCCACCCAATTGTACTTTTTCTGTTGCATACCTTTCAATAATTTGGCATTCATTTACATGTGTAGATTATTAAATAGAAAGTTATTTAAGGGGCTGAGATATAGATCCGTAGCATGCATAAAAGTCTTGAGTTTGGGGGCTGGAGAGATGGCTCAGTGGTTAAGAGCATTGCCTGCTCTTCCAAAGGTCCTGAGTTCAATTCCCGGCAACCACATGGTGGCTCACAACCATCTGTAATGAGTTCTGGTGCCCTCTTCTGGTCTGCAGACATACACACAGACAGAATATTGTATACATAATAAATAAAAAAAAAAAAAAGTCTTGAGTTTGATTCCCGGCACTGCATAAAACCAAGCGGGTGGACCTTGACTGCATAGGAGACTTGAGGCCAAACTGGACTGTGTGAGACCCATTTATAGCCTAAAAATAGATATAACATAATCAGGCCAAGAAAATGTCTGCTGTAGTTCTAAAAATCCTCTGCCCAATAATATTGTTGATGGCATTTACAGAGCAATTATAAAATTTGTAATTGAGCTTTTGATGTCCTGGATTGTGAAATTGTGAGTTTCAGTGCAGGTCTTGTAGCTAATTCATTTTGAGACTTTAGGCGAATCTTTAAGAGTTGAAATTTTTTTTTAAAGATTTATTTATTTATTATGTATACAGTGTTCTGTCTGTCTGTATGCTTGCTGGCCAGAAGAGGGCACCAGATCTCATTACAGATGGTTGTGAGCCACCATGTGGTTGCTGGAATTGAACTCAGGACCTCTGGAAGAGCAGTCAGTGCTCTTAACCTCTGAGCCATCTCTCCAGCCCTAAGAGTTGAAATTTAACTATATTTAAATAGGGACAATATTATTTCATGTTTTCAATTGATTTATAGTATAGAGAGAATTCATTGAGGTACTTTACCAACCGTAGAGCGTTTGCCTCATGTAAGATAGTAATGCTTGTGATAAAAATTAATGACCTATTAGAGGCATCCATCAGCCTGCTGCTTGTAGTGACATTTTACTTGTGTTTTAATAAATGAAACTTGCCTGAGGATCAGAAAAGTAAAACAGCCCAAAAGGCCAGATTTATAGACCAGGCTGCAATGACATACGCCTTTAATCCCAGTAGCCACACTAGTTGCCATAGAAACCGGCAGTGCATGCCTTTAATCCCATTGGTGCAAATCTTTAACCCCAGAACTAGAGAGGATTATAAAATGGAAGAAGACAACTCTCAGACACAGTTGTATTTTGAGATTCCTGAAGGCGGGATCATCATTTTGGACTGAGGTCGAGGTAAATCTGACTTGAGGTTGAACTCCCAATTTCAGTCTCCGAGTTTGTATTGATGTGCTTCAGCTGCTTCATGTATTTGCATTATTTTGTTGGCCAGCTCTAGCATGCAAGATTCATTTTTCTAAGTGTTCTCTAGCTTAAAAAAAATCTAGCATTTTAAAAGATGTTAGAAATCTTAATACATTTTGCAATTTAAGGTCGTGTTCAACTTCCTTAGCAATCAAGGAAATGCAAATCAAAACAACTTTGAGATACCATCTTACACCTGTCAGGATGGTTAAAATCAAAAACACCAATGATAGCCTATGCTGGAGAAAATGTGGAGTAAGAGGAACACTCATCTATTGCTGGTGGGAAAGCAAACCACTTTGGAAATCAGTGTGGCGGTTTCTCAGGAAATTGGGAATCAATCTACCTCTGATGGGGAAGCTCAGCCAATCACACCTGGCTAGGGTGTGGCCGCCTGGAGCCCAGGTAGAAAAACGGGTAGAAAGGTGCACACACTCTCCATGCTGTGCTCACCAGACCATTTCGGATTTCGGACCTCCCACTCTAGCAGCGTGAGTTTCCCCCCTTTCCAATTATTAAAAATATAATTGTTGTTCTTGAGCTGGTCTGGTTATTTATCGGACCGACCCGATACACCAACACTTACATATCTCAGGATCCAGCAATAGCACTCTTGGGAATATACCCAAGAGATGCCCTATCATACTACAAAAGCATTTGTTCAACTTTGTTCATAACAGCATTATTTGTAATAGCCAGAACCTGGAAACAACCTAGATGCCCTTCAATGGAAGAATGAAAATAGAATGTGTGAAATACATATGCATTGTAAGATTTTAGACAATTCTGAAGCCATTTCTGACAATTCCAAACCCTCTCAGCCTCCGTGCCTTAGTGCTTCCCCTCCTCCCCTGGGAACCAAGGAGCTAACAGCTACACATGCACGTACTCAGTTCCTGAACAATCACCCACATACGTATGTTTTGACTCAGTCCCCTGGGAAACGGGGTCAAAATGACCTCTTACCTCATCTGATCTGACAATAGTTCTCCAGTCAATTATTGGTATTAGCCCTTTTCGAACAAGCCAATCATAATGGTCAAGGAACAACCCCTCTTGTTTCTATGGGGCCTTCTCCTTTAAAAGTAGACTGTACCAGCTAGTCGGGGTCTCTCGGCTTCCCGAATGCTGAGGGACCCTGTCATGACAGAATTAATAAAATCCTCATGCTTTTGCATCGGCTGTGATATATGAGGTGGTCTCTGGGGGTGACTCCTCGGTTTTGACATTAGAGTCCAACAGCATTAGAGTACTACTCAGTAGTTAAAAACAATGACATCTTGAATTTTGCATGCAAATGGATGGAAATAGAAAACACTATCCTGAGTGAGTTAACCCAGACTCAAAAAGATGAATATGGTATGTACTCACTCATTAGTGGACTCTAGCCATAAACCAAGGACATTAAGCCTGTAGTTCACAAACCTAGAGAAGTCATATAACAAGGTAAACCCAAAGAAAAACATATATAGATCCATCTGGAAATTGGAAGCAAACAAGATTGCCAGGCAAAAGTTGGGAGCATGGGGTGGGAGAAAGGATAGGGGTGAGGTTGGGGGAAGGAGAGAGGGGGAGAGGGAAGGGAGAAGGGAAAGACTGGCAAGAGCTTGGGGGATGGGAGAGTTGAGATGGAGGAAGGACAGATATAGGAGCAGGGAAGAAGATATCTTCATTAAGGAAACCATTTTAGGGGTGGCAAGAGACGGCTCTAGGGGTGTTCCCAGGTGTCCATGGGTATGTCCCCAGCCAGGTCCCTGGTTAGCAGAGGAGAGGGTCCCTGAACTGTCCTTGCCCCACTATCATACTAATGATTATCTCAAATATCACCATAGAATCTTTGTCTGACAACGGATGGAGATAGAGACAGAGACCCTCATCAGAGCAACAGACAGAACTCCCAAGGTCCAGTAGAAGAGCAGAAGGAAGGAGCAAGGAAGTCAGGACCGCGAGGGGTTGGTCCACCAACTGAGGCAGTGTGCCTGTTCTAATGGGAGCTCACTTAATCCACCTGGACTGAGACTGAACGAGCATGTGATCAAACTGAACTCTCTGATTGTGGCTGACAATGGGGGCTGACTGAGAGGTCATTGATAAAGGCACTGGGATTTGTTTTTACGGCATGTTCTGTCTTTTTGGGACCCTAGTCTATATGGATGCACAGCTCCCTAGGCCTGGATGTAGTGGGGGAGGCTTGGACTTCCCACAGGGCAGGGTTCCCTGCCCTCTCTCAAGCAGGGTGGAAGAAGGAGGAGGGTGAGTGGGGGAGCAGGAGGGGACTGGGAGGAGGGGAGGAAGTGTAAATTTTTGAATGGAAAAATAAAAAAAAGGGAGAGAGATTATAAAGATTATAAATGCTGGGACCAGAGGGCTGGCTTGGTGATTTCAAGTGCTTTCTATGCAATCCTGACGCCCTGAGTTTGCTCCCTGGAATCCAGATAAAACAGGCAAAAAGCCTGTAGATGCCCAGCATTCCAGTTGTGAGTTTGGGAAGTGGAGACAGTAGAATGAGTCAACCAAAACCTCATGGGCCAGCTCTCCTAGAGTGCTGCACGAGCAGAAAACAAGACACATTGTATTCACAAGGTGGAAAACAAGAGCCAACTCCCAAAAGTTGTTCCCTGATCTACGCACAAACACACTAAAATTTAAGATACTAAATGCTGTATTTATCAGAGTGGACAAGTCACAGAGCAGGCTTTCTAATGCAAACAGAACAATTCCACAATTTCTGCAAACAGAAATATTCCACAAATTTTGAGAACATGCTCTACATTAAAAACATGTATTTGTAAACTATGTAATGGAATAATTCTTTGTCTTTCTTTTTCAGATATTGCTAAACATTCATATACTCCAGGATGCCCAATTCTTTACTGCTTACAAGATCTTATGAGAATTTGTAGTGAATCCAGTACTCACTTTGCAACACTTACAGCAAAGATGTCAATAGCCTTGGATAAGTAAGAAACATATTAAGAATATTTTTAATCAATCATAATTGAAATTAGTCTGAGATACACTTGTGAAAAATATTAATGAAAAATGACCTATTATATTAAAGTGTTCAGTTTTTCTATAATAAAGATGAAAAATCCACCAAGTAAGATTGCCTTGCTTACTTAGAAGACGTTGATTTTATCTTTGCGAAATAATAAACACTTCCCAGATTTCAGGACCAAGATTCTTTTCCTATAAAGTCAGCATAGTAGTTACTCTTGTAAGGGAACAGTGATAGTCTGTCTTCTGGGTAATATCACATCTCAGAAGGCCCAGTATAGAAGTACTTCATATTTTCTATAAGGGTTTTACGATTATAATGGCATAGGCATTATAGAATAATTGCTGTGTCTATTGACAAAGCTTTTTATTAAGTATTTAACACTACACATATTTTCAAGTTGGACATACTAGAACGTGTCACATGTCAGAGTTCTAGAGCAGTCTGTCTTTGTCACCTTCACTTTTGGCTTTTTCCTCTCTGCCAGGTGGCTAGATGAATGCCATGCCCAATCTCACTTTATTCCAGCTTTGTTCCGACCTTCTCACCTTGAGCGGATAAAGATGAATGTTATAAGCACTGAGTATGCTGCTGAGTCAGGTCAGACAGAAAACTCACTGCATATGGACTATAGTGCACTAGAAATCAAGAATAAAATGCCAGCCCTAGAGAAAGCAGACGTCTGCATTTACAATCCTTTGTTTGGATCAGAGCTTCAGAACACAAACCGGATAAGAGATTCTGTTTGGCTCTGGATTCAAAAGACATTTCGAATATGGTTTGTCCTAACAAAGATGCATTGGTTGTCATTGTAGACATTAAAATAACTACCAGCGCTTTATTTATATATATGAAAATCAAGTATATGAGACTTTTAAGGCGTTTTTATTTTGTTTTTTTTCTTTTCTTGGTAGATAGAGTGGTAATAAATTCATACTTGGTCTAGGCATTCCAGACTACTCAAAAACCTGTGAGCCTATAAAATGTTACTCTATTGAAAATATTGTTTTTAAATTGTAGATGCAGGGACAGAGCCCATTGAGAGATCAAGAATATTTTCTATAAGGCTATCAAGAAATGCAGGCAGTCAGAAGAAAAAGTTGATGACATTCTCCCATCTTTACTAGACTCTACATTCAGATAAGAAGTGTCAGGTCACACGTTAAGCTGAGACAACAACTTATACATGAAAATGTAGATTACTGATATTTTCAGTTAAAAAGCAAAGGCAATGGAACAATAAATTGGTATTTATAAATTGTAGAGACAGGAAGCACTGGGCCCTCATGCCTTATTACGACCTCAGCAGCTGGCGTGGGTTACATCTGCAAATAAGCTGGAAGGAAGTCTTCCACATCCTGCTTTCACCTGGTTGGTTTGGTCTTGCTTTTTTTTGGGGGGGGGCACCAGAGACCCTGATTGGTAGTAGGTATGGAAGAGAGTTGATCATGTCCAGAAATTGTATTAATGGTAAGTGTGTGGTTCATTCCCAGGGACAGGCACCCTCTGACAGACGATGAGATTGCTGCTGGCGGGACAGCACACCTCCTCCACCACCAGTGCCTGGATGGGCTTTCTTTTGGCCAGAGATAAACCGCTTCAAGAAAAGTACTACTTAGAACAGAAAGCGGTGTGTGGCGAGGACCTGCCTCCCTTAGCCTATGAGCACGTTTGTGCACAGTTTGAGGCCTTCTGTTCACTATAGCTCCAACTGATAGGCTCTCAGAGACCTTTCTGCAAGCTTAGGGAGCAGAACGCGCCAAGCTATTGCTTCTGTAAGCTTCGCAGGTGGGTTTTATTCTATAGTGCACTCTGCCCTGTTGCTTTGGTGCTTAGCTTTAATGTCTGGCCTCTGTACATGGAGCATATATGTATGTTCTGTTTTTTTATAAAGTGTAGGAGCCTTGGATTACATGGAATTTCATGACCTGTATTTGGGCAGAAGTGATATAGGCACCCCCCACAGCTTGCTGGGCAGGAAAGCAGGAAAGGACTCATTTTGAAGCACACCCCAGTCTTACCATTTTTCTATTATATTTTGTTTAGACACATTATTAAAATGGTATGTTACATTCAGATATTCTTACATTCCTGGGGTAAATCCATATATGTGTGAGTATGTGTGTTTTTCAAAAATTTTTGATAAGCATAAACATAGCATATTAAATGTTATAATAGTATATATTATAAACATATATAATAGTGAGTATATAGCTATAATTTTATTTTGCCATCTTTGACTGATAATAAGCTAACTACTTCTTAATTAGCTTCTTTCCCTACCAATTGACCTATCTCCTTCAGAGGATCATGTCTCTTATGACCACCTATTATAAATCTTTTAAAAATGCCTCTACTACTTCTTGCCATCACCATATGAACCTTTGGAGAACACTTATTTTTTTTTTTGAGAGAGAGAGGGGGGCAGGAAGGAGGGAGAGAGAGACAGAGAGAGAGAGAGAGAGAGAGAGAGAGAGAGAGAGAGAGAGAGAGATTCACGGTGTAGCTCTTGGCTGGATTAGAACTTGCTATGTAGAATAGGGTGTCTTCACACTCAAGAGATTCCTGCATTGACTTCCTGAGTGCTAGTGGCTGGTGAACATTTTTAATGACATCCAAGCTGTAACAGAGGGCTAAGGGTCATCCATGTCGGAACATGTATCAGTATTCCAATTTTTGTCTCCAATGATATTCTATAATATGCACATACGGCATGTTACTTATTCATTTGTCCATTTTTAGCTATTTCAGCTGTCTCCACTTTCTGAGGTCTATATTTGGGAGTGTGATTGCTGGGTCATACATCATTATGTGTTGATGTATTGAACTGATAAATGTTTTCCAAACATTGGCTCCATTTTTAACCTTGTCAACAGTATTTGTGTGTGTTCTGATGTTTACACGTGCTTATTATCTGTCCTGGATTTATGTAGGTGGTGTGGTCTTTTGAACTGGGTGGCTTTTCCCTGATGGCCGAGTGTTTTGTGCTGTTCTCTTAGGAGAGTGTCTGTTCAGATCCTGTCCCTTTGTAGTAAGACTGCTTTTCATCATCCTGATCAGGTGTGTGTTTTCAAAAGGTATAAAGACTGACTTAACCCTCTGCTTTCTTCTCAGTCTTTTCCTACTTTTGGGTCTTTGTCCTGTTTTGAATTAAATTTAAATATAATGTGAGATGAGGGACCATTGTACCTTTCTGTATATAGAAAACCCTATGTCCCAGGACTGTTTGTTGAAAAGACTGTTTTCCCCCTGAATGGGCTTGTCAAAAATCTATTGGCCATAAATTTAAGGCTTTATTTCTGAATCCTGAATTCCATTTTATCAAGCTGATTGCCTAGCTTTTGGGTTAGCTATATGTTTACTTCTGTAAATTTTGAACTTCAGAGTGAGGCTCTAATCTTTTCCAACTACTATAGATATTCCTAGTTCCTTCAATTTTTATAAGAATTTTAAAGGAGAGGTGTGTGTGGGGGGATCAGGAGGAGGTGAGGGAGGGGGAACTGTGACTTGTATATAAAATAAAATAGAAAACAATTTTAGAGTCAATTTGTCAATTTCTGTGAACTTGTGATTGATTGCATTGCATTTGGGAGTATTACCACCCTAACACTGTTAGTTTTTACACACCCCATTTTGTTCTTTTTAGTCTTTCATTCTCTTCCAACATTTTCATTTTTTTTTTTTACTTTTCAACGAAAAGGTTTATACCCCTTTGTTAAGCCTATTTTTATTCGTTCAATGCTTTTGTTTCTTATTTATTGTGTACGGTATGTGCCTGTGTGTGCCATGGTACACAGGTGTTGGTCAGAGAGCAGCACGAAGGAGTTGCTTCTCTCCACTGTGTTGGATCAAGCTTGGCTGCAAATGCCTTTTCCTGCTGAGCTGTCTTGCCAGTCCTTAAGTATTCTTTTCATTTTCATTTTCATGCCAGTTCAAATCTATTGATCTACCCTAGTGAAAATTTTATTTATATCTTCCAGTTCCAGAATTTCTATATTTTACAAAACTATTCTCCATTTCATGAGGCATTATCATATTGTTTCATACTTTAATTCTTTAGGCTTAATTTTTCTTTTTGTTCTTTGAAGGTCTTTATAATAGTCTATTTTAATTCACCTGCTGAATTCAGTGTCTTTCCTTATTGGGGGTTGTGGCCATGGCCTCCCATTTCCTTCTGAGGGTTCCAGGATGGCAGCTAGAGCTGCAGGTCTGGTCCCTGAGGTCAGTTGGTAGCTGCCGAGGATGTAGGAGAGGAGGAAGGAGGATTGACAGAGAGGTGGCCAGCAAGGAAAATGGACATGTACTGTGTGCCCCCAAGTGGCCTCTGACTGCTGTGCCATTGTTGTTTTCTGTTCTCTTCCTTTGTTACTAAATTTTAATGCTTGTAAGAGGTTAGTTGCTTTAGTTTAAAAAAAAATAGAATTTGGTGATACATCCCATCTACTTTCCATTTGTGGTCCATACTAGCTGGAATTCTTATTTTCATTTTTTTTCAAGTTTCTAATACTTTTGTTGAATTTGCTACGCTGGAAAGCAGTAGCAGCTCTGGAAATGAGATTCCTACCCCCGAGGTTTGTTACCTCTGCAGGGTTTGTAAACGTGTGTGATCCTGTCTATGTTCAGTGACTCTCATAAACAGATGTACAGGGTTCTATGATGTCTGCATTCATCTGTATTCACTGAACTCCACTGTTTGTTTTTGTGGGCACATAATGATTGGAGACTTTGTAAATATTGTTTTGTTTTGTTTGAGACATCATCTCACTATGTCTTTCTGACTGGCCTGGAACTCACTGTGTAGACCAGCCTGACTTTGAACTCTCATATATTTGCCTGCCTCTGAGATTAAAGATGCTGCTATTCCTGAGCATATCAGCTAGAGATTTCTTAAACTGTCTTCAACTCTTAGCTTTTGCTGAGGAAGCTATGCATGTTCAGGGCATGTTACCAAGAGTTCTTCAGGGACTGATGGAGCATGTGATCAAACTGGACTCTCTGAATGTGGCTGTCAATGAGGGCTGACTGAGAAGCCAAGGACAATGGCACTGAGTTTTGATTGTACGGCATGGACTGGCCTTGTGGGAGCCTAGTCTCTTTGATGCTCACCTTCCTAGACCTGGAGGGAGGGGGAAGGACCTTGGACTTCCCACAGGGCAGGAAATCCTGACTGCTCTTAGGACTGGAGAGGGAGGGAGAGAGACAGTGGGAGGAATAGGAGGATATTGGGAAGAGTTCTTCAGGCGGTTACAGCCCTGCCTTCGCCTTCACTTGTGGTGTGTGTTGGTCAGCCACATGTGGGAGACTGAATCTCTGTCATATCTGTGTTGCATGTTGTAGCACAGTACAATGCATGTGACTTTATGTTAGGACTTTCAGGGTCTCTTGTCAACATTTCATTTTCATTTCCCAGTTGTTGCCTTCATAAGTATCTGGTTTTAATTTTTAAGTGTACCTTGACCTCAGATACTTACAATGTTAAACAATATCTGCTGCGTATTTTTCTTTCTTTCTTTTGTTGTTCTGTGATACAAGTTCTCAATGTAGCCCAGGCTGCCTCCGCTTCTGAATGTGGGTTGGGGGATGGAGGTGTTACTCTTATCTGGCTATCCTTGGCATATTTGTTCTCACCTCTCTGGAGTAGTGAGGCCATGGCTGCCTTGCTTTGCTTTCCAAGATTCCCATTGATCTGCAGTAGTGTGAGTTCCATACCAAAACTTGCTTTTCTCACCAAGATACAGCATTTATTTTCTTGAAGGAACTTATGGTAGATTGTTATATGCCTCTGTTTAATTTGTCATAGCTTTGGAAAAGTTGACCCTGATTTTTGACAATCTCAGTTTTCCAGGGTGATTTTTATTGGTTCTTAACCATACAGTTGACCCTCTCCATGTTCTCTTGGCCCCCAATTTTCCCATTGACTGAATAACTGTCCAAGCCATCAAGGAACGGATACCACTGCCCTTCTACTCTCACACTAACTAGGAAATTAAAACAATTTCCTCCTATGATGGAGGTATGGTAATTATTTGTGGGGGGGGGGGAAATCAGAAATGATCCTTGATTTTTTTGATGGAGAAGTGTTTTATTTTTTCTATTTTTATCTTATTTTTTTTAAAAACAAAAAACTTTTTTTTTCATTTTATATACCAATTGCATTTTCCACTCCCTCCCCTTCACCTTCCTCCCACCCCCATTTACCCCTCAAAGAGGGTAAGGCACACTGCTTTGAGGAAGGACCAAAGCCTTTCCTACTTTATCTAGGCTGAGCAAGCTATCTCTCCAAAGTGAAGAATCTGAATTTGCTTAACTGATGCATAAAAGAAACGGTAAGACTGAGACCTCCTATAATTACCATGATGAAGATGGTCAAGTAAGTCTCAGCTAGATTTCCCTCCTTAGGGTCCATTTTCAGAGAAAATATTTTAAGCTATAAAAGTAAAAACTATCATTATTATACATATATAAAATTTGTTACATAATTACAGGTAATAAACATGCAACTCTAATTCTGATTATGTTATTTCTTTTTACTTAACAATTGCAGTTTTTAAACATTAGAGATACATTTTTTGTTGGCTTTAAATATATTTTGTAAATAATTTTGTAAATTATAAATATATTTTAAATATATATAGGTCAGATTATGAAAAGTTTTTGAAATTCTACTCTTCCTTGAGCTAGGTTTGTATATATACTTTTAGTGCATTATTGGCCCACTTGTAAATCAGCTTTCAATAATTTTATTTGGTTTATTATCTAGACAATTTTTAAACACATGTACAGTTCATCTTGTTAGGTACCGTGTTGAAACATTCTCTAACGAGATGTCTTCTTTCTCACTTTGTAGATTGTGGCAGGGTACAGCATTCCTCTAGGGCATCAGGTGTGTGTTTCTCCTACTGCCAACCAAAGGCTGAAAGACTTCTGGGTAGAACGCTTGGACCATAATCTTGACTGCTACTTACAGAAAAATTCAGCACCAGGAGAGAAGTTTGCTCATGTGTCATTTGGAGCTCGTAAGAGGTTTGCTTATATTTTAGGTAGAAGTGTTTGCCTCTGTTATTTGTCTTTCTTCAGTTAAACTACTTGAGAGAGTGACAGAGAGGGGAGAAGAGAGGAAGAGGAGGAGGGAGAGATTTGGGGAATGCAATTTTTGTAAAATGGAATATTCCCTAAATCTAAGGATAAATCTTTGTATATGCTCCATTGCTCTCTGACCCATGTCCTTTGATTAGTTCTGAACATATGAAGACCTTGAACTTCAGATCATTATTTAATGAATAAACTTAACATAAGATACAAATGATTGTAGATTAATAATTTAAAGGACCTTTAGCGCAGCAGTTTAGATTCTGTAATGACAGGTGGTCCTAATCATGGTCTTGGCTTTTCTTCATCTCTGTGTTTGTATTTTAGAGTTTCTATAGCTACATAATCTAGTTATCAAACAGGATTGTCTGTCACCTTGCCGTTCTGGAGGCCAGTTGAAATCAAGGTGTTGGCAGGGCCATGCTCTCATGGAAGGTTTTGAAGAAGGCAGCTTGCTTCTTCTTAATTGTAGAAGTTACTGGCAATTCTTGGCTTGTGGCTGTATATCACTCCACCCACTGCTGTCTTTCCTGTTTGTTTATCTGTTTATACTTTTTATGTAACATTGTAAGTTGATGTGGGAGTCCCCTCTGTATGCTGTGAATACTATTGGTTAATAAAGAAACTGGCTTGACCTCATAGGGTAGAACAGAGCTAGGCGGGGTGGGGGGTACTAAACTGAATGCTGGTAGAAAGAAAGGTGTGGTCAGGAGAAACCACAGAGCCACTGCCAGAAACAGACACACTGAAACCTTGCCAGTAGGCCATGTACCTCGTGGTAAAATATAAAATAATGGAGATGGGTCAGTTCTGGATGTAAGAGCTAGCTAGCAATATGCTTAAGTAATTGGCCAAGCAGTGATTTAATTAATACAGTTTATGTGTTGTTATTTTCGGAGTCTGGGCAGCTGGGAAACAAACAAGAGGCCTCCATGCAACAGTAAGTCATCTAACTCATCAGAATTTATCAATTCTTTCGTCAATTACTTCTGGTTTGTGGCTATGGAAAGTTCTCTAACTTTTTACTTTAAGCCAGACTGGCAGACTTCTCTTGAGTATGGACCAATGTAAGTGGTTCCTTAACTATGCCTCCCACAAATAAATGCTTAATGGGCTGTGCAAGCATGGTGATAAGCTATGTTTAATTTTGTTTTTCTTTAGCAAATAATATTTACAACAAAGATGCCCCAATCTTTTCTCTTTTTTTCCTTCCTTCCTTTTTTTTGACATGTACCTTTCAATGGTCTGGAATTCTATCTGTAGACTAGCTTAACTTCTAATTTATGGGTCTGCCTCTGCTTCCTGAGTGGTGTGGGAAAATTGTCTGTATTCTGTCAATCATATTTTAATAAAACGCTGATTGGCCAGGTAGGAAGTATAGGCGGGAGAACCAGACAGGAAGTAGAGGTGATGCAATGAGAACAGGAGAATTCTGGGAAGCAGGGAGGTTCCTCTGCAGTTCTGCCCAGACCACCGGAGAGGAAAGATGTAAGCTGCCCCACTGGAAAAGGTACTGAGCCATGTGGTAACATAGATAAGGATAATGGGGTAACATAAGTCATAAGAGCTAATAAGTAGCCTGACCTAATGGGCCAATCAGTTTATAACCTAATGTAGACTATGTGTGATTTTCTTTGTTGCTTGCCAGTTGTGGGGTACTGGGCGGGACAGATACCCCAACAAGTCAGCCCTCTCATGTTACATATGGCTCCCAGACGCGGATAACTGAATCCACAGAAAGCTTGAGAAAGCTTGGGAAAGAGTAGAGTAAAGCATGTTTTCTTGGTAGTAGCAATTTCTCGGGTCTGCTCTGCTTGCTAGAGGCAAGCAAGCGCTCTCATCTAAGAGAGGCTTCCTGACTCAGCTTTAGCTGCAAAATCCTGCAGCTCATTAAGAGGTCCTGCCATGAAACACTTAAACAGTGTTGATGAAAAGCTGAACACATGCTTTTTGGTTTTCAGTCATAGCAGGAAAAAAGCTGTGCCGTTTTAAAATGCCGACTTTCTGGGCCGTCTTGCCAGGGCAAACTCTGACTCTTTCAGGCAGGCAGTCTGACTGAGTGTGGTCTGTGAGCAGAATGCTGCAGTTTTCTTGCTGGCAAGGACCTTGAAATGCCATAGAGTTGTGGCAGTGAACACAGTTCTGGCTGGTATCTCAGCCATGAGACTGGAGAGCTGGGGAGTGGGCTGGATCTAGCCGTCAAAGCCACTGCTCTCCATATTGCTTAGTAAATTAAAGGTTCATGTGGTCAGAAAAAGAGAGATATACAGTAAAGAGAGATTCAAAGAGGAAGAAAACCTCTAAATGGTTTACAGTGTTTTAAAAATATATGCAGGCTAAAGGTTAAAGTCATTAAAAATAAAAAAGAAAGGGAGAAATAGGGTGTGGTGGTACACACCTTTAATCCCAATGCCTGGGGGGCAGAGGCATATTGACCTCTGTGACTTCAAGGGGTGGAGGTAGATTGACCTCTGTGACTTCAAGGTGTGGTAGCACACACCTTTAATCCTAGCACGGGGGAGGCAGAGACAGGTGGATCTCTGTGAGTTCAAGGACAGCCTGGTCTACAGAGTTATTCCAGGACAAAGATATACAGAGAACCTGTCTCAAAAAATAAAAGTAAAAATAGAAGAAATAGAGGTTAAAATAAAGATGGAAAATACACAGAGAATCTTGATACTGTATGTTATTATGCTCTCTTTGAATTGTTTGAATGTTGAGGAAGGAGCAATAGTTGCTAAAAGACTTTTGTTTATAAATGCTGCTGAATTAATCCAATATAGATATTTTGAAAATACTTTGGCTTCAAAATTGAAGTCAAAAGGTATGCTACTTTGGAGAAGAGATTCTGCTTTTGTTTCCACAGAAAACGAGAGGCTCTGGATTTATTCAGAGTTAAGAAAAATCATCTTTGGCCAAGGGAGACCACCTGAGCAATCTCCGGTAGGAACAGATGGCCCAGATGTCTGAGTTCTACATCCAGAACAGATTCAAGGTGCTGCCTGAGATGATCAAGACTCAAGGGGTACTCCAGTCAGGACTTGATTATAACTCTAAATTTTCTTTAGGTCCCTATAAGAGTATCAGCACCCTCAACCAGCAGGAAGTAGCCTAAAATACTACGCCCACATTCCCAACAAATGGACTATGGGTATTTTTCTTTGTTTAAAAAAAAAAAGAGGGAAATGGTGTGGGAGAATTGTCTGTATTCTGTCAATCATATTTTAATAAAACGCTGATTGGCCAGGTAGGAAGTATAGGCGGGAAAACCAGATAGGAAGTAGAGGAGATGCAATGAGAACAGGAGAATTCTGGGAAGCAGGGAGGTTCCTCTGCAGTTCTGCCCAGACCACCGGAGAGGAAAGATGTAAGCTACCCCACTGGAAAAGGTACTGAGCCATGTGCTAACATAAGTTATAAGAGCTAATAAGTAGCCTGACCTAATGGGCCAATCAGTTTATAACCTAATGTAGATTATGTGTGATTTTCTTTGTTGCTTGCCGGCTGTGGGGTACTGGGCGGGACAGATACCCCAAGCAAGCCGGCCCCTCATGTTACACCTGAGTGCTGGGATTAAAGGCAAAATGCTCCAGACGCAAAATAACATCCACAACATTGTCTTTGCCCAGCCTCATATCATGAATGTGCTTTCCTGTTTCTCACCAAATCTTAATAACTTTAATATTGATAATCTAGAATTGTCTTGAATTCTTTTGATGTGAGAAAGGGTGAAGTTGTGATTCTTAGGTTGTTCTTGTTATTCCAACCTTTTCTTGGCTTGCTGTAAGGCTTTTTGCTGAGAACCAGAGAGCCATGATATTCTTTCTGGGCTCTGTGTTCTGTCCCCCTGATCTATTTGTTGATCCTTGTCTACTACCACACTACACTGGCTTCTGGACCTTTAGTCATGCGATCAAATTTGAAATCAATTAGAATTCTTCAGTGTAGTCCATGCTTAAGGTTGATCTGGCCTTTTTATTTCATAATTTCTCAGCTTTTGTAGATTTTGATTCCAGTTCAGATCCAGTTATTTTGGGTTCATTGAATTGCCTTCTACTTTCATTGTGAATTTGACCTCACCAATGGATACTTTCCCAGTGTGAATTACACAACGATTCACACCTCTGAAAACCCAGTAATCCATTACAATAGGAGATCAAAAGGAAAGCGGAACAAGAAACCAGTGTGGGTTAATAACTGCACGCTGCAGCTTGAGAGAAAATGAAGCTTATGAAAGAGCTTTCATTGTGCACTGTTGAATGTGTAATTCTGAAAGCCAGTTTGATTTTAACGTTTTATTCATGCAGTGGTTTTTATCAAACCTAATGGCATTGGAAACAGTTTATAATAGATTTGATAGGACTTCATGGAAGCCAAGCTTTTGAGTTAAAAATTATTTTGGGGAATCTAGATTGTTGGCAGAGGCTACAGAATGCAGTATCCAGGTATTAACTTCAAAAGCACACATTGCTCCAGAAAGATCACTTCTGCAAGTGTAGTTATGCAAGTTTAAAAGCCTGGTCAAATGTGTTATTTGCATCCATGGGCCACTTCTGTGTGTAAAGATATGAAAGGGTAAAGAATAAACTCACTTCCACAGCTTTAGGTGAAAGTGAACACTAGTTAGATGGGGTGATCTTTGAAATTTTAACTTGAAGCACTGAAACAGGAAGATGGCAGAGACCTCGGACCATGCCTTGATAACCATATTTCCTAATAATAATAAATACTAAAGGATGCTATGTTACCGGCCCCACATTTTGGCGAATCCTTATGGGATTTGATTGTGACTTGCTTGAGGTTCTTTGTATCCTCTCCAGAGATCTTGAGACCAGTGACTTCTGGGCTTTTGGTTGGAATGAGAAATGGTATCACTGGCTGCATTCTGTGGGGACTTTGTTCAGGAGCCCTTACCTAACCAATTATAACCATGGGTGCAACGCTGTGACATGCCTGTCATCATACTAGGGGAATCAAGATGACTTTGTGGCCATATCATACTTGTGATTCTAGCACTCAAGGCTGAAGCCAACCCCGGCTATATTTCAAGACTGTATCAAACAAACAAACAAACAAACAAACAAACAGAAAAGTCCCCAAAACCAAACAAAAACCCCCCTGCGCCAAATAACATTTTTCCCCCAACATGTTACAGTATGTTACAGTTTTAAGAGGGCTAAAGACTCTGTATGAGGGCCCAACCTCTGCTATTAAAGGTTTCACATTAAAAATCCCTGACAAAAATTTCACTGGTCAATTTATAGATTTCAATTGTGTGCACAGTGTAAGTACAGTTCAAAGGATCAGAGAATTTAGAAAATTACATCCTATTTGTATGAACTAGTCTCCTGCTAGTATTTCCTTCAGGTTATGAATTTAGGCAACTAACTAGCGTTATCAGCTCCCCGGGAGAAATCAGGTATTTTCACAATAGTTGCTGACCTAACGAGTATGCTTTTCTCTCCTTTCGTTGTGGTAGCTCTTACACTGCACGCATCTACACGTGTTACATTACTGCTTTTATTAAAGCTTGATGATTGTTTCTACGTAATTCATTTTCTTTATATGAAAGCTTGGATATTTTGTCTTTATTATTCTGAGAATGGTTCTAGACTGATTAGATCTGTAGATGTAACACAGAACTGTGACCTTGAGTAAGGCTGGCCTGTTTCCTGACTAGTCTTAGATTCTGACATATTTTCAGTTCTGGGAATTAAATAAAGGGTCCATTAGAATACAAGAGAATTAGGTTTTGATCACAGATCAGTTATGGAGAATAACACAGCAGAGGTCCAGCAGTGGGGCAGATTCAGCTGGCAGGCACTTGTCCATCCAGCTCATCCACCTTTTCTCCAGGGAACAATTAGCAACCGTATTAGCTTTAAAAGGCTCTTATGCACAATTTCCCCTTCAACTAGCTGTTTTAGAATAGCATTACTATTTCTAGAAAACTTAGCTGCTTAGTTAATATGGGAAATGACATTAATTAGAAATTCCTAGCAATGTACAGCTTTGTGATTGTGTTCCTATAAATCAAAGACCATTGATAGTGTAACAATATCTTCTGGATGTAAACGACAATACTGCCATTGTAGTCAATGCTGTGCTAGTAGGGAACCCTCTGGAAAGCTGTATTCTCTCTGAGAGTTTCCCAATTAGAATTTGGTTGGCTTAGCAGGAGGCATCCTGAATTTTGTTACACTCTTACTGATACAATTTAATATTCTTTGATTTCCGTCTAGGTTTGTGAGGAGGCTTCTTTGGACACAAGAACACTAAATGTAATAAAATACGGACTAATCATGAGAATGCCAACTTATGAGTTGAAAATATTCACTTAGGGATAGTTCATACAAAGGCACACTGAAGATGTTCTGTAATGGAGAGAGAGAGAGAAACCCACTTTTGGATCTTAAGTTCTCCTTACTATAGAGAAGTAATAAGATGCTATGTACCATAAGCTGAGCTGCGGCTGAGTTAAAAATGAAGACGGTTCAAATACAGTATGGTGAAAATGGTGAAGTCATTTTTATTTCAGTTCTTGACAAAATAGCCCAGGAAAGTTCAAAACTTCTACCATTATACAAAAATAGGTCTCTCCAAGTGATGTTATGTCTCCATCACCAGTAGCAAATATATTAGGCAGAAACATGTAGCCTTGTAAGAAAAGTGCAGGACACTGCAAGCTACACATCTAGCAGCATTATCATTTGAAAAACTTTAATCTTTTCACCCATCTGATAAATAGTTTATAATTTAATCATTTAAATTAGCATTCCACAAATATACATGTAATTTAATGATTACTGTGGGTGTTTTATATACACAAACTCCAGTTTGTCTTTATGTGCTGGCACGGATTTGTACACAACCATAAATGTGTTTGTATTGGTTGGTCCCACTGAATATACACAATAAAAAAGCACGAAAGAGCCATTGATTTACAAAGGGAATCTATTTAAAATTTAGTTAATGCTTTCTCCTCATGACAGCATGATTTGAAAATTATCTCCTCATAGCAGTATGATATTGGGAGGCAGGTGAACCTGTAAAATAAAAAACAAAAGAAAACAAGAGAATCAGACTGTTACCTATATCAGGGCAGCCAGTTCACATAGGCAGATGATCTGTTTAAAATCATCTCAAAATGTTGGGGCCAGTGAGATGTTTCAATGGGTGCTGCAAACCTGACAATCAGAGTCTGATGCCTGTGATCCACATGATGGAAGGACAGAACCAGCTTCCGCCAGGCTTCTCAATGTCACATGCACGCTGTGGCCCAGATGTGCATACACATTAACGTAAAACAACAACAAAAACAAAAAACCCCTTGACTTCAGACCTGAACTTCAAATGTTTTCTTAAACATTTATGTGTGCAGGCGTGCATGCGTGTGCATGTGCACACATGCACATACTTGTGAGTACAGTCCAAGGATACCCTAGAGCACTGGATCCTCTGAAGCTGGAGTTACAAGGGAGTTGTGAGCTATTTGATACTGGGTGCTGAGAGCAGCCGCAGGTCTTCTAGAACAGTGAGTCCTTAAGCACAGAGCTTTCTCTTCAGCCCCATAACTTAACCTTAGTTCTAAGAGGCTGACTACATTTAGAAGTCACCAAGCAAGGGAAGTGAGACAATGCTCATGTGTTTCATGACTGCTCTGAAGATTACCTGGGTTAAACAAATGACTTCTGTAGTTCATAGTATGTGTATTCATAGAAAGGGAGTCCTAACAATGATTAGGACAGGAGAAATGCCTTCCAAGAGCACTGACTGCTCTTCTAGAGGACCTGGATTTGATTCCCAGCAACCACATGGCAGCTCACAATCACCTGAAACTCCCATCCTAGGTGATCCGATGCCCTCTTTTGGCCTCTGCAGGTACAGGCATGAATGAGGTACACATACACCTGGTGCGGGAGAATTATCTGTATTCTGTCAATCATATTTTAATAAAACGCTGATTGGCCAGGCAGGCAGTATAGGCAGGAAAGCCAAACAGGAAGTAGAGGTGGAGCAAAGAGACTGGGAGTATTCTAGGAAGCTCCCTCTGTCAGTTCTGCCCAGACAACCGGAGAGGAAAGATGTAAACTGCCCCGCTGGAAAAGGTACTGAGCCATGTGCTAACGTAGATAAAGATAATGGGGTAACATAAGTTATAAGAGCTAATAAGTAGCCTGACCTAAAGGACCAATCAGTTTATAATCTTATGGAGTCTTGTATGTGATTTTCTTTGGGGTTTGCTGGTTGTGGGGTACCGGGTGGGACAGAAACCCCAACAAGCCGGCCCTCATGTTACATACACCCACCCATACAAAGAATAAATAATTAAAAAGCAAAAGCATCAAAGTGAACTGTTAGCACAGTAACTTAAACAAAGTGATTCAGTTTTGGGGCCAGTAGTGAGCAAAGGAAGGCAGGGAAGTTTTTCCATGATGAGTAGAATCTGCCTCTATATAAAGTATGTACTTTGTGTATAGTTTTGAAGAACGAAAGATGCTTCTTATAAAATCTATCTGTAAAAATCTCTTAGATCTCATATTTTTGTCTGTATGTGTGTAGGTGATAATCCACAGTGCAGTCGGAGGGCAGCTCGTGGGAGTTGCTTTTCTCCTACCTTGTGGATCAAAGTGACTGAATTCAGTAACTCAGGCTTGGAGGCAGGTGCCTTGACCTGCTGAGCCATTTCTCCAGCCCTTAAAGTCCACCTTTATGAAGTGTATGACACTGAACTTTTGAGGAGAGAAAAGATGATGCTTACAGTGCAAGGGATGGCTTGTTTAAATGACATGGAGAAGGACAATTAGGATGGGGACAATGGCTGCATCACTCGCTCAGGGCAAGGCTCGCTCTGCCTTCCACACTTTGCTGTTTTCTACCATAGGAAGGACAGGTTCTGCTGTGGACCTCAGTCTCAGAGTCCCTGGCAGAGCTCATCATGAATTTTGTCTAATCCAAATGAAGAAAGTACCAAATCCCTCTGTCAGGAGCTGCTGGTAGAACATGGGAATAATGAAAAGCCAGTACTCTGCTGGTCAGAGTTTTAGCTGGTACTACCTGGGCACTTATGCACCAAGTACAAGATTTGATTAACCCAAAGAAAGCTGTCATGGAATTAGAGAGATGGGTGGGTCTAGCACTGCCACAACAGAACAGTGGTTAAATCCAGCACCTGACTGTAAAGTAGTTCCGAGTCGTCTCTGAAGTGCATCGATCTGGGTGACATAATCTGTCAGCGTTCTGCCAGGGTTGTACTGCTGTAGCTGAGGATTTGTCAGGGCAGGATTGAAATCTACAACAGTTCCTGGGTACCTATGGAGTAAAGTATGGTCAGAATCCAACTTCACAGTAACAGTCCGCTACGTTGCCAGCCTGCCTCTTCCCTGACATCTAAACAGAGGATAACAAGGAAGTAACTCTTCACTAAGCTCAAAGATGCTATTGTCATAAGAAGGCCCAGTACCAAGGCTGCAGAGTGCTCAGTGAATGATGGACATGTGCAAATCAACTGTTCTGTGTGTACTTTTCCAGTGTCTAACTACAGCACGTATTTCTAACTACAGCACGTATTTCTAACTACAGCATTCGTTTCCTTTAGAAACCATCTAGAAATTAGAAGTAGCTCGTATTCTAAGCTTTAAGATAATAGAAACTACATATAATTAAAGATGTCTAGCTGTCATAATGCAAAGTACTCTTAAGTTCTAACAGTTGGTCCATTCCTCTCTGAAACATTACTATATCTACTATAGCTAGGTTTGATAAATTCTTACCTATTGAATGATAAGGGAGACCTTGGGAAATCCAGGTCTGATCTTGAACTATAATGTGTCATTTGTCTTGGATCTGGATACAGTTCCAGTCCACTGGTGGAATGATAAAGTGGATCAGTCCTTTCAACACCTAAAAGAAACCCAAAATACATCACTGTAAAGAAAAATGTACCAAGCCTCAGAAGACAGATATAAACCCAGTAAGGGTTTAAAAAGCAGTATATGATACTATGTGCTATTTACAGTCAGTTTCTATTCTTGTTTAAAGAGAACAGTGCAAAGCAAAGAGCCTTTCTGTAGTTTTCTGATTACCTTTGAACATGAATTAAGAGCTATGCTTCAAAGAAAATAAACTCACTGGAATATTTTATTTGTAAAATACAAGATCAAAGGGGGAAGGGTTTCTGAAGCACCAAAGGTGGGTGTGATTCTGGGAGTTGGGGGAGATGATGTAGTAAAAACCCTATACTAATGAAACCAAGTCTTTTAGTGGAAACAAAACAAAATAAAACCAAAAAAGTGAGATCAAGATTTGCTAACTGCCTGTGCCAACACAAGTGCCTATGGTAAGGACTTCATCTCAGTGTGAGGGTATCCTAAAATACTCTCAGAGAACCAAACATACTTCCTTTTCTCTGAGTCTCGGAAGTCAGGACACCTGGACATGGCACAGCCCCGACATCACAATGTGTCCTCTATTCTGTGCCCTCCAGCTTTTGGTCTCCTTATGCCTTGAATTGTTCCAGCCCTAACATTCTGTCTGAGTTCTAGCTGTAGAGAGAAGGAATCTAAAGTTACCATTATTATATAACATGCTCAGAAATATAATGCTGAACTGTAAAAACTTTAAACCACAATTCTTCCACATGACTAACAGCAATGCTCTCTAGCTCTGGCTCCACTATTTCCCTGCTGGATAATCTGAGGCAAATGGCAGGTGCTCTCCATGGCTCAGCACAAGCAACAGTAACTGCCTATCAGAGGCCTGGGAGAACCCATGAAGAAAAGCAGGGCTGGGTGCCGTCTACGTGTACCAGAAATCAGGCTCTAACTCTGGAAGTCCCTAGCCTTACTCTAAGGCTGCTCACGGTCTTTGGACAATATCGGCATTAGAACTGGTCATGTGACAGCTATTGCACATGTAGCAATTTCAGAGTCATACACAGAAACTATGTCATTTGACCTTACCTGGACTCACTCCAAAGCCATCCCTATTAACATTGTTGGGGCCAGAAGCTTTGACTCGATGCCATCGCTGAACCAAATATTTCATTCTAAAAGAGACCACAAGATAAAATCTCAAAGGACAGCTACGTAAATATAAATATATACATTCAACAAAATTATGCCATTTAATTATGAACACAGAACACATTTCAGCACAATCACATGAGTGCCTTAGTTAAACTCCACATATTCCGTTGGTTTATGGCCAAGTCACCAGGCACAGGGCAGAGCTGTGAGCTTCCTCTCTCCCCAAGAGGCCAATGATTCTACAAGTGGGGGAAGGAGATTAAGAACAAAAGTGGACAGAGAAAGAGTGAGCAAAGGAAGACTGGAAGGTAAAAGAAAGAGGAGGAAAGAGCGGAGTCAGGCAGATGAGGGACGAGAGCAAACTTCCACAGGCAGTGAGGAGGCCAGAGAAATGGGGTGTGTTCAACCCTGTGAGCAGGAATAATAGAGATAATAGAGGTGGTTTCAAAAGGAATGAGCTGTGCCCCCAGCATGCTGAATTCCTTGCTGACTGCCCATTCTGCCCTGGGCTACAGAACTTTTTGGAGTACCAATTTTAATTTCTAAATGCCAATTTCAGGGTCCAGTGTAAGGAAGGTCAAAATATCACAAGCTTACTGCAGGGCATAAAGGGAGGGATTAGAGAAGTTTCATGGTGCACACCTTTAATCCTAGCACTTGAGAGGCAGAAGGAGATAAATCTCTGTTTGAGGCCAGTCTGGTCTACAGGGTGAGTTCCAGGACAGCCAGCGTGACATAGTGAAACCCCATCTCAAACCACACCCCTAAAGCAAGGAGGTGAGGACTTGACAGTAGCTTCCCTCCTTCATGGTACCTTCTGGCATTTCTCAGCATTGCAGGCTAACTCCCGTCACATCAGAAGACCATTTCCTGTCTATAAGGTCCAGGTATTCTACCCTCACCCATTAGGCCGAGCTGTCTGTATTAATGTATTATTAAGCCCACTGTGCTTACCCCTGGCTTATCCTATACAAGGGGAGAAAGAAGCGGAGCTGTGAGGCAAGAGTGAGGCCTGGAGGGGAAGGCAGGGTGGAAGCCAGCAGTAGATAAACCCTAGATCCTGTGCAGAACTCCACGGCACACAGACGTGCACCCTCCCTGAGCTTGTCACCGCTTTCTGTTCCATCTGTGAACTAAGTTTCTTTACAGTATTCTCTGAACAGTTTCAAATTTTGCCTTATTTTCCAAAGAAAATGAAGGGCTGGAGAGATGGCTCAATGGTTCAAAGCACTGGCTGTTCTTTCAGAGGAGCCCCATTTGAGTCTCAGCACCCACATGGTAACATGGGAGCTCATAACAGATTGTAACTCCAGTTCCAGGTGCTCTGACATCCTCTTCTGGCCTTCGCAGGCTCCAGGCACATATGTGGTACACATACATACACTCAGGTACAACATCAAAAGACATACAAATAAAAATAAGAAAGAGAAAAACAAAGGTAAACCAGCCAAACCCCATTAAGACTAGCTGCCATCCTCTGACTAGCAGAACTTTGTAAAAACCAAAATTTGAGACTCCAGCTGTGGAGAGACAAAAGGAAAGGGAGCCAGAGAGAAGCCCAGATTAAGACTCCAGGGAGTTAGGAATGGAAGACAGTTGGGGTCTTCACTCTAGTGCAGCCACATACAAGATAGATGTTAAGTTCCTAGCCTGGCCTTCTAGACCTGAGCAGTCTCAGACCAGGCTTTCTTCAGTTTGGCACTGTAGAGTAACTTATTTTAACAAATAAGAAAATAAATAAATGTACCATCCTAACTAATTTTTCAAAAACATCCTTCCCTTTTATGATCTATATGTGTGAAGTGGGATTATTTACAATTTTTAAAGGATAATTTGGACTGGAGTCATCAGCTCCTAATACCTGGAAAGACTTTCCAGGGAAAGATTCTGCTACAAGGTGAAAACCTTGAAAGAAACAAGTAAGATGTCTACAGAGCCTTCTTTACGTGTCCTTAGAAGATTTAGGACGGAAATGAATTCTCTTCACAACTTTACCTTGTAATTGCGATAGACACTCTGATGGCCTTGCGAAATACGGCCAGTCCCTTTGGGCGGCTGGTGCCTGTTTCAGGACTGTTGAAGCCTGGGAATCCTGTCATGCGGAAAAGCAGCCCCATAGTGGCCTCTTCGCACTCCTGGAATCTCCCCAGGAGCAGCAGCAGGTATTTCTTTTGGAATACAAGGGCTTTCCGAAAACTCTCAGCTCGCAAGTATTTACCATAAATTCTCTATATTTAAAGAAGGGAGAGCAAAGAGCAGAGAAGTCAGTTGAGCTGTCCTCCAGAGGGATGGAAACAGCAGACAAGGGTTAGGCTGCAGGCCAGGCTATTGTTCACAGTGTTACCTGAGATGACAGGAGACAGAAGAAGTCTTTGGAATACAACTTCTAAAATCAGAGTTATGTTTTGTGTTTATTTTGGGGCTAGCTGTTTTACTCAAATTTACTGTAAACATTTTTTATCATTATCATTTATGTTTTAAAATACTTTGTTAAAATTACAGTCACTTATCAATTTATGTTCTTAAATAAGTTAGTTTTCTGTCACTGTATTCCATGTCATAGCTGGAACAAATATTCCAGATACTTTTCTTCCTTTTCACTTTGGACTTTAGATTAACTGATCATGGCAATATTACTATTGCATTCATTCTCAGCATTAGAGAGACCACGATGTTCTTCCAGAGAGTCATGGTGCTGTGCTTACAAGCTGCACGAGGAGACTTCTGTGTGCCTAATAGGAGACAAGACTCTGGGGAATAAGGTCACACTGCTGACAGCAAGAAGGTAGAGCTGCATGTGTTGCAATTCTGGGCATGCCTCTTTACAGATCTGAGACCAGGTAGACATTGTAATCACAGCAGATTGATGAGAGATCCCTCGGGATACAGTCTGAGCAGCAGCTGTATTTCTGTGGTCTGTTCAATTAGGGGTAAGTTAGAGGGCTGTGCGTACCTTAAAGACTGCATTTTCAGGGCTCCTATTCTGATGTAAAGTGTCATTTTTCAGTTCATCTTTCAGTCGGCACACTTTTGCTTCTGCCCTTTGCAGGGATTTCTGAAGAGTCAACTTCTCGTTGCTCCAGACTTCTTTTTCTGAAGCATCGATAGAGAACTGCAGAGACATGGCCTGTCACAAGTTTTCAAGAAGACTGAATTAAATCACAGTGGATTACCTAGCCTTGGCCTTTTAACACTACAGGGAAGCTCACAGTCACAAACATAATGGCCTGAGTCAAAGTGTTGAGCCCCTATCACTGAAGTAAAGAGAAGCCAGCATGGATATGAGTGAGTGACTCTCAGGTTGGCCACATGAACACATTATCCACTTGGCTATGTGGTTGTTTTGACGGCCTTTTCTGCTTTAAAATATAAGGGTGAATACAGAGACTAGCCCTATTCTTTGTAGCTTTAAAACCAAATTTGAATTCAGAGAGTAAGTTATTAGCCCGAAATAATGTCCCAATGATGAAAGAAGACTAACCCTCACTAGTCAGAGATTTGATAATGTAGACCAGACTAACCATGAATTCACAGAGATCTGTCTACCTTTGCCTCTAGAGTGCTGGGATTAAAGGCATGTGATTCCATGCTCAGATTAACATCATCTTTCACTTGGTCATAAATGTAGTGAGTAGTAACTGGCGAGAATAATAATCTCTTTCAGTGTGTCTGCTTTCAGTGACACAAACATCTTTAGATAGACCTTAGACTGAATATGAGTTGGTTTCCTCATGTACAGGGCTGGATGCAGATGAGCAATTCTATGTGTGTGGGTACGTATATATATATGTGTATACATACATACATACACACATATATATACACATATACATACACACACACGCGCGCGCGCGCGCACACACACACTCACACACACACACACACACACACACGCATACACGTACCACCCCCACACACATAAAACCCAGAGTGTGGTAAAGATGTGTCCCTCAATAACAGGAATTTTTATTATTGTTGTCATCATATATAATACATTCCACATATCCTAATAAGGGTCATACATGGAATTTTTATACTACGGTTAAAAATAGAACTAGAGAGAAATACTTAGTTTTGAATTACTTCTAAAAACAAACGTACACAATTTCTATCAGCGCTTGTCTGTTGATAAAACTTTATCTGTTCTTCCAGTTGCATAATAATGTTCCGCAAGTTGTTCTTTTCCTCAGTTAGTTGGTTAACATGTCCTGTTAGTTCAGAGTTTTGTCTTAATACAGTTTCCATACAAGAGGTACTGGAGGATACTGAGCTGTGCTGGAAAAACAAAATGACGCAAGGTTATACAGACACACATGGACATGAGTAACTCAGGTAGAGGAAACAGGTACTGACACAAACAGAGTCCATGAACTCGTGCTCGGTAATAGTAGAAATCTTCCAGGCTGGAGACAGCTGGGAGGACACAGGAGGGAGGAGGAGCACAGAAGGGTAGAAGCTCCTGTAAGAGCGCCGCTCTGAATGAGCCTGCAGATGCTTTGTCAAACTAAGTGTTACTGCATATTATGATGACAGACCTAAACAAGGCGACAGCGAGCCAAGGAAGATGTGACAGGGGCGAGGGGCACCACAAACAAAATTTACATCCTTTGGCAGCAGTGTAAGGTAGAACAGCATATGGAAGGTGCACACCCATGGTACCTGCTAGTATGCATAGGAGTTGTAACAGGTTACAGAAGAGGACAGAGAGGAAAGGGCACAGAAGTGGACATTTCCATAGCCTGTGACTGCTTCCATGTACAAGGAAGAGTGAAGGATATGGTCTATGGTGATTTTCGGCTTTCCACACTGGGTGATATCAGAACCAGAAAAGGGGTATGAGGAAGGAAGGTGGAAGAGAAGACAATGTTTAGGTTTGATTGTGTCTGTGACCTCCTGACACAAAGATGTCTAGTAGCGAGCCGAAAATATAAGCCAGGGCCATAGGTTAAAAAAAAAAAGGCCTATATCAAAACAGTCCACAAGGTCAAAATTCTTGTCACTTTGTCCACCTAAGCCCCAGAACCTCAAGCAACAATTGGACAGAGCATGAGAGCTCATGCTGAGGGAACAGGGAGGTTCACAGCTGGAGTCACAGAAAAGCACTGCAACTGCAGAGGGAGCAGGCAGAGCTGGCTGGAGCAGGTGAGGGAGAGCACTGGCACAGAAGACAAGGAAAACAGACTTTAAGAGCGTGAAACAACCTAGATGCCGCTCAATGAAAGAGTGCATAAAGAAAGTGTGGCACATCTACACATTGGAGTACTAGTCAGCGGTAAAAAACAATGACAACTTGAATTTTGCATGCAAATGGATGGAAATAGAAAACACTACCATGAGTGAGATAACCCAGACCCAAAAAGATGAATATGGTATGTACTCACTCATCAGTGGACTCTAGCCATAAACAAAGAACATTAAGCCTACAGTCCACAAGCCTAGAGAAGCCAAATAATAAGGTGAACCCAAAGAAAAACATATACAGATCCTCCTGGAAATTAGAAGCAGACAAGATCGCTGGGCAAAAGTTGGGAGCATGGGGGGGGGGGAAGAGGGGTAGAGAGAAGGGAGAAGGAAAGGACTGGGGAGAACTTGGGGGAGTGGGAGGGTTGAGATGGAGAAAGGGCAGATATGGGAGCAGGGAAGAAGATATCTTCATTAAGTGAGCCATTTTAGGGTTAGCAAGAGACTTGGCTCTAGAGGGGATCCCAGGTGTCCACGGGGATGTCCCCTGCTAAGTCCTTGGACAGCAGAGGAGAGGGTGCCTGAACTAGCCTTATCCCATAGTCACACTGATGAATATCTCGATTATCACCATAGAATTTTCATCCGGCGATGGATGGAGACAGAGACCCTCATCAGAGCACTGGACTGAGCTCCCAAGGTCCAGTTGAAGAGCAGGACGGAGAAGATGAGCAAGAAAGTCAGGACCGCGAGGTTGTTCATCTACTGAGACAGTGTGACTGATCTAATGGGAGCTCACCAAATCCAGCTGGACTGGGACTGAACGAGCATGTGATCAAACCGGACTCTTTGAATGTGGATGACAATGGGGGCTGACTGAGAAACCATTGGTAATGGCACTGGGACTCGTTTCTACTGCATGTACTGGCTTTTTGGGACCCTAGTCTATTTGGATGAACACCTTCCTAGGCCTGGATGTAGGGGGGAGGGCCTTGGACTTCCCACAGGGCAGGGTACCCTGCCCTCTCTTAAGACTGGAGGGGGAGGAAGGAGGGGAAGGAAGGAGGGGAAGTGGGGCAGCAGGAGGGGAATGGGAGGAGGGGAGGAAGTGGACATTTTTGAATGGAAAAATAAAAATATATTAAAAAAACCCCAAGAAACAAAACAACAATAACAAAACACTGATGTTCTTATAACCCACCAGATAACCCCATTACTCAAAAAATAAATCTTTATTTACAAAAATAAAAAGAAAGAAAAAAAAAGAGAGAGAGAGTGAAAGGCAGCTGGGAACTGGTGGCGCAGGCCTTTAATCCCAGCACTTAGGAAGAAATGGCAGGCGGATCTCTGTGAGTTTGAGGCCAGCCTGGTCTAGATGGTGAGTTCCAGGACAGCCAGGGTTACACAGGGAAACAAAAAAGTGAAATCCTTGCTACAGAAGTGAAAAGTGTCAAATGAACAGTCAGAAAGAGGGAAAAGGCTCAGCAGAGCATCAACCCTGGAGATGGCACACGACTGACTCGGAGCTCCCTCCTGGTGATAGCTCGGGGAAGCCAGCCACTGCCTCAAGAATCTGCCTCTTTGTAAGAGGGTAATTATACAGCAGCAGCAACAATGAATGGGAACTCCTTCCCAGCTTTCACTACTTGTTGGGGGAAGGAAACATTGTATTTCAAATAAAAAACAAGCAAGCAAGTACAATAAAAACTCTTATTAAAAATAGTCAACCAAGTTTGAAACAACTCATAATTTCAGTTGTTGTCTCTACAAAGAATTTTAAAAAGTCTTACCTCATTATGTGGACAGCTAGTTAGTCTTTGTACTCGCAAAATAAGTCGATCAATTCTTTCTTGAACCCAATTTAAAACATCCTCATCCGATACTTCAAACTGTTGTCTTTATAAAAAAGACGAAAAGTCAAAACAGATCTTACAATAACACTTCTTAACACACACTAGAGGCTAAGACCGCTCTGTCTGCGTCACTAGCACACACTAGAGGCTAAGACCGCTCTGTCTGCATCACTAGCACACACTAGAGGCTAAGACCGCTCTGTCTGCGTCATTAACACACACTAGAGGCTAAGACTGCTCTGTCTGTGTCACTAACACACACTAGTGACTAGGGTTGCTGTTTGTATAACTAATACACACTAGAGGCTAAGACCGCTCTGTCTGCGTCATTAACACACACTAGCAGCGAAGGATGCTCTGTTTCACTTGTCACTTTACTCTTAAGTATGACCCCTTTCTGGTTCAAGGCGTAGTTATTTCCAGACAAGTAAGTCCTGCTAAAGAACACCATCTAATGCAGACATGCATTATCTTTAAAATATTTCTTTTTTGGTATGGGTGTGATGTTGCACGCCTTTATTCCCAGGAGGCAGAGGCAGACAGGTTGTTCTACATGTTTGAGGACAGCCTGGTCTGCAGAGTGAATTCTAGGCCAGCCAGAGCGACATAGTGAGATGTTGTCTGAATAAAAGAAAACAAAAACAAAATCCAACATTTTCTCACTCTTGCCTGATCTGTCAAGAGTATCATTTCTATAGAGCAGGCAGAAGGCTAACCTGTTACAGGCTTTCTGGGCTATGTGTAGTTGAAGTTTCGTAGCCAGTTGCTGAAGTTTCTGTCTGATAACGTCTACATCATTATAAGAGACAATTGCTCCTCCATTCATTTCAATCACTTTTGCGTAGCTTGTGTTTTTAGTTTCTTCCATTTTTTGTTGAAGAACCCAATTTCTAGTTCGGTCGTCAGTAACGTTCCAGGTGGCTTCCTGGCAATTTTGGACAGAAAAAAAATACTCACAAATGAGCAACATTTCATTTTTTTTCTTGAGGGGAAACTCACCTATCATCCCCTGCTACCTCAGAGGAACTCTGAACTACAGGCTGCAACCACACACAGCAGACCAAGAGGCTGCAGCTGCACACAGCAGACCAAGAGAGACCTCAGTGGCTCCCTGAGACATAGACAGTGACTGCACAGAGTAGATTAAGAGCAGCTCCCTAAGACACAGACAGCAAATTCAAGGATTGGAACAGGAGGCAAAGACACAGTCAGTACCAACTGAAGGAAGAGGTGGGTAAGCATCAATGCAAAAATTCATTCAACAACCTAAAAAGCAACGTGGTAATGCCAGAACCCAGTGGTCATACAACAGAAAAACCTGATCATTCTAATCCAGAGGCAGCAGAGGAAAATTTAAATATAACTTTCTGAAGATGATAGAGACCCTAAAAGAGAAAATGAAAAATTCCCTTAAGGAAACGGAGGAAAAGACAAACAAAAAATTGAAGGAAATTAGTAAATTTCTTAAAGAAAGTCAAGAAAACTAAGAAGAAACAAACAGGTGAGTAAATAGTTCAAGACTAGAAAACTGCAATAGAGGCAATAAAGAAAACACAAACTGAGAGAATTCGGGAAATGGAAGATCTGGGTAAATGAACAGGAACTACCGATGCAAGCATAACCAATAGAATACAAGAGATGGAAGAGAGAATCTCAAATGATGAACATACCATAGAGGAAATAAGAATCATTCATTGGTCAAAGAAAATGTTAAATCTAATATTTTCTTAACACAAAGCATCCAGGAAATCTGGGACACCATGAAAAGACCAAACCTAAGAATAATAAGGAATAGAAGCAGGAGAAGAACTCCAGCTCAAAGGCACAGAAAATATATTCAAAAAATCATAGAAAACTTTCCCAACCTAAAGAAGGATATGCTTATGAAGGTACAAGAAGCATACAGAACACCAGATAGACTGGATCAAAAAAAAAAAAAAACCCATCCCCTCGCCATATAATAATCAAAACACAAAACATACAGAATAAAGAAAAAATATTAAGAGCTGCAAAGAAAAAGGTCAAGTAACATATACAGGCGAACCTATCAGAATTACACCTGATTTCTCAATGGAAACCATGAAAGCCAGAAGGTCCTGAGACAGATGTGCTCAGACACTAAGAGACCATGGATACAAGCCCAGATTACTATACCCAGCAAAACTTTCTTTCACCACCAATGGAGAAAACAAGATACCCCATGACAAAACCAAATTTAAATAATACCTATTCACAAACCCAGCCCGACACTAATGCAGGACAATTGTCTATATTCTGTCAATTATGTTTTAAATAAACGCTGATTGGCCAGTAGCCAGGCAGGAAGTATAGGCGAGACAACCAGACAGGACGGAGAGGTGGGTCAATGAGAACAGGCGAATCCTGGGAAGAAGGAAGCCCATTTCTTGGCAGTCCTGTCCAGACAAAGAAAAAGCAAGATGTGACTACACCACTGAAAAAGGTACTGAGCCATGTGGCTAACACAGATAAGAATAATGGGCTAATGTAAGTTGTAAGAGTTAATAAGAAGTCTGCACTAATGGGCCAGTTTATGATTAATATAGACCTCTGTTTGATTTCTCTGGGACTTAACGACTGTGGGAACCGGATAGGAAAGAAACCCCAACAACATTGCAAAAAGTACTAGAAGGAAAACACTAACCCAAGGAAGCTAACTGCACCCAAAAACACACAGGCAACAGATAGCCTCATACCAGGAAATCCCAAAGAAGGAAAACACACAAACACTACCACCAAAAAAAATAACGGGAATTAACCATCACTGGTCATTAATATCTCTCAATATCAATGGACTCAATTCATCTATAAAAAGACACAGGCTAAGAGAATGGATATGAGAACAGGATCCAGCCTTTCGCTGTATACAAGAAATACACATCAACCTCAAAGACAGACATTACCTCAGAGTAAAGGGATGGGAAAAGATTTTCTAATCAAACAGACTCAAGAAACAAGTGAGTATAGTTATCCTAATAACTTTCTTGAGGGAACAAAATTACATACATATTTCAAATAAAATTCTACAGACACTGTTTTTGGGATGATTTGAACATAAGTATTTTAAAATATTGTAAAATATTAAGATTATCTTTACATATTAAAATTACTTACAACTTTAAAATAATTGTTATCATTGTGTGTGTATCTGTGTATGTCTATGTGCATCCATGCCACAAAGTACACCTGGAGGTCAGAGAGCAGCTCTGTGGATGTGGGTGTGAGACTGAACCCAGGTCTGCAGATATGACCTACTGACCTGTCGCTCCTGCCTTCATACATATGGTAAAAGAAACAAACATTTACCTCATTAATATTCTGATATATGAGTCGTTTACTTCTCCGTTTTTCCTCCCGCCCTAGCTCCTGATTTTGGAATTCCTGCATAATTGCTTGTAGTCGCTTTCCCTCGAGGTCAAGCTTGTATACCTGGTGTCTTTTCTCTTCTAGTTGGAGCTGAAGCTCCTCCACTTTGCCCTGAAGCTCCTCCATTTTTCTCTGGCCCAGGTTGTTTGCTTCTTTTTCTAGCTGCAAGGTTTTCTGATGAATCTGCCTGTCCTTTTCCATCTGATATTTAGTTTCCAAAGAATCCAGTTTATATTTTTGAGATTCATTTACAAGTTCGATTATGCGTTTTTGCTTTTCCTCTACTTGTTCTTGTAGGTACTTAAGTAGTTCTGCAGGAGGAACGACTGGCTGGGGCTGCAGGTCATCACCTCTGTTCTTCAGCTGGGCATGCAGCTCTCGCTCCTCGTCTAAGCTCTCCTTCATCTCCTGAATTCTAACTTTTTCAGATTCTAGAAGAACTTGGAGCATTATGTTCCGGCCTTGTTCTTCTGATAACTGTGCATTATGTAATATTTTCTGTGACTCCATTTTTTCCTGTAGATCATTTAATAGTTGTTTTTGTTGTCCCAGAAGTATATCTAAGTGTATATTCCTCTGTTTCTGGTCCTCCAGAATGAATCTGAGATCCTTGAGATGAACATGTCAATATTAAAAATACTGTTAAAGTATATAACCATGACTTTGCAGCAATATGAAAGCATTTGGTAATTGAAGACAGAATTGTTATCCAGTACATAGTGGGAATTATTTAGACAGCCAAACGGCTTGCTTGCATCAAGGATATAAACACAACCTTCTCCAGCTAAATATAAAGCCGAGTACATTTCTCCAAATGACTATCTTTAAAATATGTATGTTCTTATGCTACCTTTGCAATATATTAATAAAACATATTTTTAAATGTTTATGTACTTTTATACATAACGGCACAAGGAAATAGCTGTTCTTCAGTGTCATGACAACAGAGAAGAACCATGGGCATAGGGGAGGAGGTCAACTTCAGAGAGGAAGAGAGGGCATGGAATGCATGTGAAATTAAAATACAAAGGGGTTGCTGGGAGGTGGTAGCGCATGCCTTTAATCGCAGCATTTGGGAGGCAGAAGCAGATGAAGCTTTTGTAGACAGGGACTGCTTGGACACCTATCGTTCATTTTCTGGCCACCCAGACCCAAGTAATAACACGAAACTATATTAACTACAACAGTGTTTGGCCAATGACTCTAGTCTACTCCTAGCTAGCTCTTCCATCTTAAATTAAGCCATACCTATTATTCTGTGCATCACCACGAGGCTGTTTACCAGGTAAAATTCTGGCATGTCCTTCTCCTTCTGCAGCTAAATAACATCTCTCTACTCTGCCTACACTCTATATCTGTTCTGAATTCCCGCCTGGCTTTACTCTGCTAAGCCTTTGGCATTAACCAATAGTAATAAAACATATTCAGAGCATACACAGGGGAGTCCCACATCAGATCTCTGAGTTCAAGGCCAGCCTCATTTACAGAACGACTTCCAGAACAGCTATGTAGAGAAACCCCATCTTGAAAAACCAACCAACGAAACAAAAAACCAAAGAGAACTCTTTGTGGGGGGAGGGGTAGGGAACAAGTGGAGGATGGGCAGGGAGCATGAGAACAAGAATGCCGCATGTATGGAATAGCATAATGAAACTGATGACTTAAAAGATTAACTTAAAAACTACAGTTTAAAAAGGAAATGTGCAAAAAAGGGCAAGATTTGGCTGCCTAATTCTTTCTTCTGCAATGTGGATTTCAGATAGCATGTGATAGAAACTGAATTCTACTGTCTTAGTCTTTTGGAAAGAAGGACCCTAATGCAAAATGGCCAGATGTCCACAGAGCATCTGAGATAGCTGCTCCTTTGTTTTCTAATGTTCATTGAGTAAACTTTGCCCCATGCATATAGTCATTAAAATGTTTGCTGGGTTGGCTGGAGAGGTGATTCTGTGGTTAAAGGCTGTTCTTTCAGAGGACCTGGGTTCAGTTCCCAGAACTGACATGACAGCTTACAGATGGCTTTAACTCCAGCCCCATGGGATCAATGCCATCACCTGACCTCCTCCATTAGTGCATGCACATGGTGCACAGATACACATGTAGGCTAAAACTCATATGCAAAATTTAGTTTCTCTCTTTCTCTCTCTGTCTCTGTCTCTCTCTCTGTATGTGTTGAAAAGGCAAGCACAGGCAGCAATAAAAAGTACAAAGAACAGGTCAAATCCAGAAATACTGAAGCTCAGATTATTTAAAAATACCCTAAAATAGGGTTATGAATCAAAACAGCAGGGAAGGAGGAGCGTCTACCCCAATGAACTGCAAGCAAAGACAAAAGGACAGCCTTTGGAACTCACAGGTTCCCAAGTGATACTGCAGAAATAAAGGCAGACAGGAGATTTGTGTATTACAGAGCACTCACTCAGCTGCCAGGGAAGGGACCTTGCAATCCCTCGTGGCAGCAACGTTAGGGAAGGAAGCACACAGTATCACAACATTAACTTTTTCTTCTATTATGGTCTAGACAATTATGCAACAATATTAAAGACAACATTAACAACTTACACCTTTTAAAGGAGAAGGCTGAAAACTGGACAGAGAAAGCATTATAACTTGGAATTCTCCAAGATAATAAAAACAATACCGTAAGTTCTTCGTCCTGCTTTTCGCTGTGGCCTGACTTGGCTCTCTCTGTCGCTAAAGCACACTGAAGTTCTTGTGATTTCATCTGCTCATTTTCTAACGTGTCAGTCAGTAAATGAACTTCATCTACTTTATCTTGAACTTTGAGCCTAAATTAGGAAAGACATGAACTTAACATTATCTTGGTGAACAGTATCATCATAACAAGGAGCTTGCACTTCAATATTGAGGCATATTATAAAGTAGCCACAGTGTGTCAAGTCAAGGCTTCTTGACTGGTTCACTTCAAGTGAATGGTTATCTCTAAGAGTATAATTTATTTACTAGGGTAAATAATAACTCAATTCACTGTCAGAAAGATACTATTTAACTTTTTTTGTCTTTTACTGCAATAGAAATTATATGCATTTTTGTGTGTGAAATCAACATCTAAAATAAAAATGTGTGTACTTGCAGCACACCCTGGCAAGCAGAGTATCTCACGGTATTTATATCAGTAATACATCCCATGCATTCTCAGTTCCAGCACCTGGCAGATACTAGCCAACTGAAGCATGAGATTAAACATCACATCAATTTAGTCAGTTAAATGGTTAAGATAGAGGCCAAAATAATATCTAATAATTGTTGACTAGGGCAGAAGTCATAGCAGAGGGGGAGCCAAAATGATCACATTTTAAATTTGTGAAGAACAATCAATTTTCTTGCTCTATTCACTCTTCTGTTATTTAAACTCAACACTTGCTGCTTCTGTGTGTACCGTGTGCATAACGGTTATGACAAGTCAGTACAATTATTCCTCTGACCGTCAAACTAAAGCAGCCCAGGATACCTGAACGCTTCCAGGTCCTTTATGTGTTTATGCTGGACCTTCAACGTGTCTTCTAGCTCCAGTTGTGTCCGTGAAAGAGCATATTTTAATTTTGAAACCACTGTTTTTTCCGAACTCAGCTGTTCCTGTAGCTTGGCCATTTTGTCTTTCATGCCACATGGTTGTTCTTTGGTCTCCAACTTGCCAGACTGCTGTATACCAAGGTCCAGGAGTTCTACAGGGAAAGGGACAGGCATTAAAAGATGGCCCAGCAACTCATGTGTGACTGGTATTTTGCTTAAGAACTAATCCATAATTCAGGAAATTACTACAAAAAAATCACGAAGTGCACCCAGTCCCTCAAACTGGTAATTTATATGAATGTTTCTTTTTCTTAAGAGTGCTGGGGGGTGGGGGGAGAGGCATCAGAACTAAAAACACATGAAAATGTCAAAAATATAACAATGCACTAATGGATGCAAGATTTAAAATAAGCAACTTTAAACGCTCATAAAATTCTGTAGATAGGAGCTTGTGTATTTGTTGACTTGGAGTGCCAACCATTCATAGTGAAAATTCCCAGTGCTTTCTGACAGCCATACACAATATTCACAGGAGTTACCACATGGGACAATTACTACAATCATCCAATTATTACTGCTATTTTTCAGTTTCTTTTAGATAAGGTCTCACTCTTTAGTCCTGCCCAGACAGGTGAAGCTATGTGGTGACATCAAACATGTGCTGTCTTTAGAACTATATGAAACACAGTTACTAAAGATGTAGCAAGTGTCCTCACCACATGTGATGAAGGCTCCTCTCTAACTAGCTTGATTGAAGCATGTCTCTACTGAGAAGTGGGAAAGTAACCCTAAGGCCCACACAGAAGAAAACTCCAGCTGGTCTATAATCATGTGAAAAGGGAACATGATACATGTGCACAGCACACCTAGACTGGCAACATGTCTGACAACACCAGCTGTAGGCAAAGATGTTAAGCAACAAAACATTCATACCTTGCTAATGAGGGCCACACTGAAGTACTGTTTCCCAAATTTTGGGCAAGGCAAGGTAGTGCAAACTTGTCACCCCAGCACATGCTGGGAGGGTAGAGACAAGAGGACCAAAAGCTCGAGATCACCCTTACATACACAAAGCTGGAGGCCAGCCTGGGGTACATGACAACCTCTTAAGAACTAAATAAAATATCTGGCATTATCTAATAAATTTGAAGATACACATCACATGACCTAGTGATTCACTTCCTAGGAGGCTGGGAAGGTGTCCATGTGTATTAGAAATATCAGAGGAGTGTCTGTAGCCCTGACTCCAACAGCTAACAGCAGAAATGACCAAAGGTTCAGACACAGAATTTGCACATACAGTTATGGAGATAACTGTCCATAGCAACAAAAGCTACCTTAGAGATAGTCACAGAAACTTGGAAGGATGCCATATAAAGGTGGAGAAACAAGATACAATATATACACAGATTGATAAAGTTCAAAACCAGAAAAACTTTATAAACATATACAGTCTAGGAATTTATAAAGTAGTAAGAAAACTAAAGAAAAAAAAACAGGGAAATGATTACCTTAGTTTGTATGGAAGAGCATGTGAGGGGCTCTTGGGAAAGTTCCACTTGTCAGGTAAGTAATGTTCCCACATACTCATTTTATAATTTGTTATAGTGTGCATCTGAACTTTATTTATTTACTTACATTTTTGTAAGCAAAGGATTCAAAATAAGCAGCCACTTTTATTGTGGATTCCCTTTTATTTTAGATAGATATCTCAAGTGGGTCAAAAGACTTTTCTCAAAAAAAATAGTTTTACAAAAAAGAAAATAAACCCAATGAGCTGAACCGTATCAATGTAGTGCCTGTTTATTTTAAATGAAACAGACCTGTTTAAAAACAACCTGACAATCATTAATCCTAATACTAAGAATATGGACTATTTCCTCTGTGTCTGAAAATGAGGAGAAGGTGCCTGAGCAGAAACGTTTTCCGAGGGCAACAAAGCGAATGCTTTCAGCTGGCTCCGGAATCACAGCAGCTGGCATGCACACACCTTGGCTTGGAGCGTCAGCTTCTTGTTCTCTGCTCTGAAGACATTCCATAGACATTTGATATTCAGCGCTCTGTAACAAAGGAAATTGAAAATTGAAGTGAAGAGCAGTGTAGAGATAATGGAATTACCAACCAAGAAGTCTGAATAAGAAAGAATGGAGCCTACATACTAAACTTTTTCATTAAGATTTCTCACAAGTTTTTTTTGTTTTGTTTTGTTTTGGTCCAAAAAAATATCTGTGAGGGTCTGTTGCAGACAGATGGGTTTCCTAGAAAACAGAACATTCTTGTCTTTATTATTTATTTACTTACTTGCTGGTGTGTCTGTGTGCGTGCTTGTGCCTAGTAGGCATGTGATAGCCAGAGGACAGTCTGTGGGGACTGGTTTTCTCCTCCCACCCCGTGGGCTTCAGGGGTCAGACTGAGGTCATTAGGCAGCGAATGCCCTTACCTGTTGAGCCATCTCTCTGGTCCAGAAACATTCTACACAGCCACAATATTCTTAGCAAGAATAATTAACATTACTATGCTATCTAACACAGGGAACTTAAAGAAATTTCCAGCAAATGTCCTTAGGAAAAAGAAAAGTGGTATCAACAAGTCTTTTGGGACCTTGAAACTTCTGCAGAACATGGGCTAATTTGTCCTATGTTCTTCAATAATAATAATTTAAAAAATCCTATTTTGTACTAATTTAAGCCAAAGCTCTTGTATCTCCTCAGCTAGCTTTCTGCATTGAAAACACCCCACATAACTTGGAACAGCACACTGTAAAACAATGCTGTTTTCTTGGTATCCAGCACTATGAAATTTCATCACTTGTACAGAGTTTCATTTCATGAGCCATGCCATAGTCACAGTATAGAACGACTTCAGCAAAGATTCGTCTTGAAGTCACAGCTTCTCCCCAGCCTCAGCTCATGCAAGAACTCATATCTGTTCTTTATCACTACAATTTTATCATTTTAAGAGTTTATGTGGCATACAGAATATTGAGGACATCAATAGTTTGTCTTTTAGCTAATGAGTTGTTTTTGTATTCTCTTCTTTTCAAGAATTACTTATCTTTTACTTTATGTGTATGTGTGTGGTTGTGTGAGCTCATGTGCCCCAAACCATGTAGGATCCTGCAGAACCAGAGAGGGCACTGGCTCCTTGGAGCTGATGCTATACACAGCTGTGAGCTGCCACGCTGGGCACTGATGCTATACACAGCTGTGAGCTGCCACGCTGGGCACTGATGCTATACACAGCTGTGAGCTGCCACGCTGGGCACTGATGCTATACACAGCTGTGAGCTGCCACGCTGGGCACTGAACCAGGCACTCTGGAACAGCCAGTACTCTTAACTCTTAAGCCCTTAACTATCTCTCCAGCCCCTACTGGGTTGGAGATCATTGGAAGGATGTACCACAGCTGGTCCATTTCCCACTGGAGGATAAATGGCTTGTTTCTAGTTTGGGAATAATTACAAATAAAACTTATGAATACCTATGTATAGCTTAATTTTTTTTTAAAAAATGATTTATTCCCTTTTATGTGTGAGTGTTTTGCTTGCACGTATACAACATTGTGGTTGGTGCAAACAGTTTGAAAGAGGGCAGTGGAGCAATGGATCCCCTGGAAATGGAATTACAGAGGGCTGTGAACCACTATATGGGTGCTAGGAAGAGAACCAGGGTTCTCTGCAAGAGCAACAGAGGCTGCTAACTGCCAAGCTGTCTCTCCAGCCTACACATAGGTTCTTAACAAGATTCAGGCTTTCATTTCTGTCCGACCTGTGGTGTGAGTGGCTGCTAGGTTGCATGATAAAAGCATGTGTAACTCCCTAGCTGCCAGAGTTGCTCTCCTGCGGCATTCTTCCCGCATTATTGCATCATGCAGCCTCTCTGCCTCTCCATTAGCACTCCCTGTCTGTGCTTTTCTGTCTGCTTCCTAATTTACTGGTAGCACAACAACAGTGCCGTGTCCTTCCCACCAGAAGCTGACATCACTGCTAGACTGACAGCTTGAACTGAGAGGTGTGTGCAGGGTCTCTCCCCTTTGCAATGGAAGGTATCTTCTAGAGAGGTATTTCACAATTATGCAAATATTATATAAGAACATTTCCACACTATCTTTAGCATCCATCACTGTTTGTTACTTGATAAAAAAATCATTGCTTAATAAAGAATTCTTTAATTAAATGGCTTCTTCTAGAACATTCACTAGGTGCCATTCTACCATGCTATTTTAATTTATCTATTGATGAATATGATCTTAGGAATTCTTTTTTTCACTCTGCTTCATAATCTATCAATATCATTTAGTTGTTTTTTTAAATCTTTTTTTTTCTTTTCTTTTCTGGGGGCGGGGGTGGAGTGAAGGTGGGGCATGCATGAGTGTAGGTCTCCCCAGGACAAGTTTTGTCACAAAATACCAGGCTAGTAGCCTTGACTTCAGAGATCTGCCTTTCTTTGCCTCCTGAACGTTAGAATTAAAGGTGTCTGCTGTCTCACTCAGATAGTTTGATAAATTAAATGTTTGGCCAGTGAGAAAGCCTTCATGTCAGCTTCTCTGAGCTTTTTACACGTTCTCTTTATTCTATGAACATTTCGTTACTGAAAATCAGGAGATTCTAGGTTTCGTCTTGTGTCTCCCATACTCCAGCCCCAGAATTCCCAGGTCTTCAAGGAACTACAATACCTGTGAAGGGTCCTGTCCATCACCATCGGGAAGGTCCGCAATTGAAAGCATCTGTATGCCCTCGGTATGGACAGCTCTCAATAGTCCCTAGAAAATAAAGTATCAAAGACAAAATTATGACTTCAAAGATTGAAAAATAAGACATGCATAGTCAAACAAACACTCCATCAACCTCAACTGAAGACCACTGTAGACAAGAAACTGGACCCCAACATTTCAGATGTCTGCTTGCTGTGGAGTGGTGAGCAAATCCTAACAATCTGTCTTCTCATAACTTGCACTTCTAAGTTCCTTCCTCTATTTGGCTAACACACTCGTTCTATACTTAGTGATTAGTCATTGATTTGACCAAAAGAAATAATATGGGAAATAACTTGCATCTCGAGACTGCTTTCATGTTCTTGGCAAACAAAAACATGGGGAATAAAACTGGGTTTTATTTATATATGATCATACATACATACATACATACACACACACACATACATACATACATACACACACACACACACACATACATACATACATACACACACACACACACACACATATGGTGTGATACTGCTCCACAAGAGAATGATTCTCAGTGTCATGTAATTAAGAGTTTAAGAGTGAGCCCAATGCCCTAACAAAGGACCATCCTCTCTACTTATTGTACAGCACATTAAGTGTGGTATGGTAAGGAACTTTGTCTTAAATTTTTTATAAGGGAAGAAGGTGATTTTCTGACTTAATGGACCCTGAACAAGCAAACCCACAAACAAATGTATTGTCCTAAGCTCACAGGTTATTTCTTTGGGTCATTCATTGCTTTCAACATTTACAGCAGGGGGGCTGGAGAGATGGCTCAGAGGTTAAGAGCATTGCCTGCTCTTCCAAAGGTCCTGAGTTCAATTCCCAGCAACCACATGGTGGCTCACAACCATCTGTAAGGGGATCTGGTGTCCTCTTCTGGCCTGTGGGCATACACACAGAGAGAACATTGTATACATAGTAAATAAATAAATATTAAAAAAAAACATTTACAGCAGGGACTGTGTACTTTGTGACTATAACTTACACATACACATACTGAGTCAGTGTCATAAAGGGGTTACAAGGGAGAAATAGGGAACACAGTGTAAAACTTCATGTTCAGTCTAGCTTGTAAAAGTCAATTACATGAGAAGTGTAAGGAATATTAATATTGATTACATTCTTTTTCTTAAAGGTAAGTCCAGCAAGCTGAGTGGTGCATAGCTTTAAATGATCTCAAAGCATTCAACTGACTTGGTCCCATGGTTAGGAAAATCTGACTGAAGGCAGGCTACAAGAGGTGTGCCAGAAGAATCATCCGTACAACACTCAAATGTAATATCTATGGAGCTTAAGAAATGACATGAAATAGATTTCCACGGATACTTTTAACTGTGCAATTCTTTCTTTGTAGAGGACCTTTCTACGTAACTTCAAACTGACCTCCCTGGTCAGCGTGGAGATGACATTAGTTAAGCTAAGGGTTTTTTGTCTCCAGTACCTTTACTACCTTTGGAACTACAGGTGAACTTTCACATTCTTCTTGACCTTCTGATGCTATGTCAAAAGACTGGTCCAATTCAGAATCAGAATCTAGAATTAAGAAAACAGCCATCTGTAATTACACACGTGCATGCACATGCAAAGTAACACTTTTAAAACAAATACTATTCTATTTGTTTAAATATTCCAGAGTTATGCAACTTACCACTTGAACATATTTCTCTAGTTTGGTGAGCATTAGAATATGTCAACCCAGGAGTGGAGGACTCCTAATTACAGAAGACAAGAACAGAAAATACACGGCTTGAAAATCAGACCCAATGACTCATTCATCTGTTTTCTGATACAGTTAAGGGGGAATCAAAGCCATCGAATGATGAACACAGGGAGAGCTCAGTTCATGCTTCAATGCTCATTTGCATTGGAACAGGAAAGTCAACCAAAGGCCTCAGTTTCCAAACGCTTTTTTACATACTATGATCAGATTACAAAGTAGTGAGGTTGTATTATCCATTTTTGTTCTCATGGGATCTTTGTTTCTGTTTAACACACACCTTTATCACAGTGTACAGATTAAAAGCATCCTCTCAACCAGTTTTCCAAAGGAGGCATAGGTAAAGAAATGAAAACAACAGAATTTTTCTTTAAATTCAAAACAGGCTTTTCCCTATATCACTAATGTTTAAGGTATAGACCTAGGGAACTGATTGAGAGGAACTGAAGATAAGTAGAACGGATGAATTAGGAATTATTTTGGTCATCTTACCAAAAGCTTGTCATCAAATATTTCTGTCTTTTTATAACTGGCTAGTTCTTTGTGAGACACTGATTCAGCTCCAAGAGCTTCATGCTCATCCAAATGTTGATGGTGTCTACCTGGATGCATTACCTCAGCACTTGTCTGAGCGAGAGATGGAAAGAAACCCCCTTCAGAGACCATCAGGAGCTGTCCAGAGCACTCCTAACTGTAGTGCACATTGACACCCTTCAGAAACCACCAGGGGCTGTCCAGAGCACTCCTAACTGTAATGCACATTCACTTAGGATGACTGCCTACACTCAGAGGACAAAATGGCCAGTGCTTGTTAAATCAGCGAGGGTGTTTTCAGAACCATCACTTTATATGAAGATAATAAGAGCAATTTTCTGAGACTGATGGTAAATCACGTCAATATATACGTGTATATGCAAATGTATGTATGTATATGAACATATATATTAAAATACTTCATTGGATCCAAAAATTTCAAATTTATATCATATTTCTCATAGAGTGCCAGACTTGATTAAGATATTTTTTAGATGCTAAAGGTGGAAAGTCTTATTGCCGGTTTAATATTTAGTACCCATAGTAAAGTGGTTCCAAATGCTGGTAGGTAAAATCCCATATGTAAAATTATTACCCTTTGCAATAGAAATTAATTATTACAAACACTGCATTTCTATTACTTTAGACTGTAAACAACTGAGAAACTAAAATTCTTTGTATTGTATTTTGTATAATAAGAATCATCTATGGTTTCAGCTCTTTACCTAAGAAGACATACAGATCTCCAACACATTTTTTTTCTATGAAAAATGAAATCTCACCAGGTATACAATTTCCAAGAGCTAATGAAGTTCCCATATTAACTCAGTGAAATATTAATGTGAAAACTTTAACTTCTTAAAAGGGATGATGACAAAGGATATGTATTAGAAAGAAATTAAGGCAGAAAATCCCACACAAGTCCCACACAAGTTACATTACACAGCTTAAATGTGGTATTTTTCATATTTTTTCTGTTTCAGTGAATAACTTTACTAATGGGACAGATATCATATTTGAAGACCACAGAACATGGTCTGCACTTGTTACTCTAATGATAATTACAGTGTTTAATAAAATTTAATCTGTCTATAGCTTTTGTTCTAGTGTAGGGAACTGCATCTCATATAGTATGTAAGCAAATTAAGACCCTAACATGGGAGTAATTAAACAGCTAAGCCCCATGCGGCCAATCATGAGCAGCTGTGCTTCGGGCAGTCAAACGGATCACCCCAAAGCCGTAGCCATAACCTTTCAAACCCCCACTGTACATTACTTGGGACTTCTGTCTGTAAATAACCCCTGCTGTCTCAGAGTGGAACTTCCTGCGCCTCTCTGAGTGCTACAAAATTCATGAACCACAATTCACAATCCAAATGAACTAAAGCCTATCCTTTAGGAACAGTATATTTTCACAAAATCTCATCATATATAAGTGAACTTATTATTGCTTGATGTGAACCAAACACCACGGTTATTAGTAAATTATCAATCAACTTAATGACCAAAGGTAAAGAGTTAATAGAAAAAAAGGGCCAACTGGAGTAAGAAACCAACCAACCCCTGAGTACCCTGACTCTGAACCCAGAGCCAGTAAAAGAAACATGCTCTGGATCTGAGACCTGAGCCAGGGAAAGAAACATCTTTATCCCTGAACCTAGGACCACAGAAACATTCCCAGACTCTGAAACCAGTGACAAAGAAACACACTTTGTCCCTAGAAACAGAACCAGTGAAAGAAATATGCCCTGGTCCCAAGATTAGAGTCAAAAGGCTAAATAGGACCAGTCAAAGAAACAGTTTAGCCCTGAGATCAGAGCCATGTCTGCCCCTGACCAACTAAACTAAATCTCTGAGAAGGAAAAACTAACTAATCCCTCTTCTCCCTGGGGAAACTCTGCCCCTAAGAAGCTATATGTACACACACACACACCCATCTCTGCCTGTTCCCTTGGAGACTCTTTTGCCCCCTTACCCCCCTGACAGAGGCAGCCACTCTCCTGGACTCCTTCCCAAATAAATCTTTTTCTCAAAAGAGTCTTGGGTGATGGATCTTCATCTGTGGTGCAGAATAGAAAAATCTAGCTGGGAAGTCCCTTAGGGAACTGTGCTTAAAAAACCTTGCTGAGAAGTTCCCTTGGGGGCGGGGGTGCTGAGCAGAGAAGAGGCTGCTGATAGCTCTGCTAGGACATTCCCTTAGGGGAACAGGGCAGAGCTCAGCTGAAGAGGCTCTCAGGAGAGGAGCAGGACTGCTATATCCTGTGGGGAGACCATCCCCCCATTGCACCCCAGCTTCAGGTAGCCCGGCCTCCTGATTTTTCTCTAGACCTGAGCTGTCCTATTGGGGCTTTAAGTATAGCCTGTTTTCCCAATAAGTCAGGATATTTGCAGCTCCAGAGCTATAACACTCACTTCCCTACAGTTACCTAGAATATTTAAGTAGAAAGAAAAAAATCACATTGAAAAGTAACCATGCAAATCTGAAAATCTTAGACGCTTCTTTCTTTTTCTTTGCATTCCTGATTTTTCTCAGTGTCCTCTTCTAAAGGTTTCTGTAGCTCTAGCACTTTCTCTTCCATTTCCACTTGTTTTCCTGATAGAAAACTAAAATGCATTTCAGGCACTCGCCTCTCTAACTCTGCTATTCTCACAGTTAATGTGGAGACATCGTGTCAGATGATTGCCATTCTGTCTCTCTGTCCTTTCTTGTTCGGATGACAAACAAATTTGAAGTGACACACCTCCTTATCTGTTGCAAGTTTAAGCTGATGATGGACTTTAGCCAACTGTTCATTTAACTGGTCAATTTTAGCGTCCTTTTCTTGTATTATTTGTGCGAATTTCTCGAATAACGTAGGCTGATCTGGAAGAGGTGTAGGATCAGATTCTTTCATGATAAACTCCAGCTTTTTCATTTCATCCTACGGACAAAAATAACTCATATGATCATTACATGTTATTTTTCAGGACATTTCCTTAATTAAGTCCCATAAAAATATTGAGTGTATATAATAAAATTTAAAAAAGATACTGTATTTCAATAATTCTGAAAATATTTTGATAAACAATCTCAAATATTTTCATTCACGACAAATTCAATTGTCTAGGTTGAGCAGTAAATAAGTCCCATGCAATTTCACTTGCTTACTAATGTTGTTGCTAGCAAATATTTATACAAGTACAAAGTATTAAAAACGTGAATTATTTTTATAAGCTAATTACCTGATACAACTTATTTTCTTGTTGGAGCTCTTGCAGACGGGTGGTGGACTCCTTTCTTTGTATTTCTAGCTGCATGTGGAGCTCCTGAACCTCGTCATTCTTATTTTCCAGTTCTTCTCTAAATTGCTCTAATTGCTCTTCTAAGTTAGAAATCTTTAGAACAAAGTTATCCGAGAGGGGAAAAAAACAAAACCCAGATCATACAAATGCTACTGCCAAACAGGAAAGAGTTCTATTTAATTTACAAAGGATGCATGTTTAAGACATGTAAATGGCAATAAAGGAAAATGATTTTCTAAGCTGTGTTTACCTGCTTAATTCCTAAACATGCTCAAACTATATTTTTCTGTTTTGTTTTTCGAGACAAGGTTTTTTTTTTTTTTTTTTTTTAATGTAGCCCTGGTTGTTGTGGAACTTGCTATGTAGACCAGGTTAGCCTCAAATTCAAAGATATGCCTGTATCTGCTACCCTTAATGTTGGGAATAAAGGCATGTGCCACCATACCTGTCCTCAAACTACAAAAAAGATTTTAAAATTATGTGTAGATGGGTTTTTTGAGGATAGTAACAATCATTTAACCAATTACTTAATAACTACTTAATAGATGTTTAATGAATGGATTTCCACATGCCTATTTAAGTGACGACTTAAAAGCAACTTAAGATATAGGTAGCAGGAATCAAATCAACATTTTATTCACCCCAGACTAATCCTCTGCCATGGACTACTTCTCTAGCCTTTCGAATTAACGTAGTATCAGTCTCTCCACATCAGTTCTTGAATAAAGAAGTGATTACGCATGAAAAAATGCTCTTTGCTTTCACAAAATAATAAAACTTAAACAAACAAGAACTTTCCAGATGAACACTTGTCAGATGAGCTGCCAGTAGAAAAACAAGAACTTTCCAGATGAACACTTGTCAGATGAGCTGCCAGCAGAAAAATCATGCTATTCTAGAAAGGCTTCTTTCAACTATCCTCGTCTGCATAGACGTCATCATTTGAGCTGATATCTGAACATCATTTTAGCTGTTAGCTAAACTATTTCTGTATCTTTTAAAGCTTGTTTTAACACTTCTCTATTATTTAAATCCAACAAATATTTGAAATATATTTAATATCCTGAAAAATTATACAGAGAAAAACATGTAAGTTGAACAATTTTAGGACTGGCAAATGGTCCATTTGGTAAAGCACTTGGTGCGCAAGCATGAGATCTACTGGGACCATGTAAAGTCAACAATCAGGATAGCACATGCTTGGAATCCTAGCTCTAGGGAGGTAGAAATAGGAGGATCTCCGGGACTCACTGATCAGCCGGGTCCAGCCTAACGGGTGAGTTCCAGGCCAGAGACCTGTCTCATGCCCTGTCTCATAAACACAGAGGCAAGGATGGAGTTCTGGGGATACGGCTCAGTGGTTAAGAGTACACACAGCTCTTATAGAGGACCCTAGTTTGGTCCCTAGCACTCATGTTAGGTGCTCAAAATGTCATGCAGCTCCAGTTCCAGGGCAGTTATATCCTTTTTGGTACTCTGGCTGGTGGACACAGATTCACAAACACATATCCCCATAGAAACACACACAATTAAAAAAATAAAGATAAGTCATTGAAAAATAAAAGAGGTGGACAGGTTCTGAGGAATGATTCCAGCAGCTGAGTTGTGTTTCTACACAAAGGTGCATGAGAGCATGCACTCCTACACACTTTTGAAAGGTCATATCCACATCATTAACATGTATTCCAGAAAGAAAACGTTTAAATATATTATACATGAAGAAGGAAGCTGAGTTTACTTTTGTAATAGTAATGAATTATCTCTTTTAAAATAGGGCCTAACTATGTTTCTCAGTCTGACTGGGAACTCCTGGTCCCTGTCCTTGCACCCACCTCCGTCTCTTGAGCAACTGGGTTGTAACACCATCCTAAACAGATGTGATTCTCTTCAAGCAAGGGGGTCCAGAAAAACAGGAGGACTGTTATTCTTCCTGTTGTGGTGGTTGGTGCTAGTATTTGTGATGACGAGAATCCCAGGTGCTTGCACAAGCTGGGCTAGTGCTCTCTAATAGTGAGCTACATGCTCACTAGTACTTTAACTTGGACCTATTATGTTAACAACATGCCTTACTTATGAAGGAGGGCAATAATCTCTGGGGGAAATATTTTAAATAGTAACAACGTCAACAACGGAAGCTGGCAAAGACGTAGCAGAGCGGCACGAGCTTACCATGGCCCCACACTACCAGCTCTCTCCTCCTCACTCAGGCCACACAAACTACACTGGGTTCTTTTCCATCTAAATGTCTTCCTGCTTCAAGGTCCTCTCTCCATGAACACTGCCTTTATTAGCTTATCTGTTCAGATTACAATCTCCAAGGTTAGTCTTCAAGGCAATGAACTGAGAACCAGTGAACTTTGCTTTCAGACAATAATGCCCTTCTGTTCAAATGATACTTTCAAAGTAATTGATGTAAAATAATTCAAACCACATCTGTCGTTTAAACAGAAACTCCTTACCTCCTTTTCCTTTCTGTCAATAGCATCCCGTTCAGCCTGCAACTGAACTTCTAAAGATAATCCAGGGTCAATCTCTACACCTCCAGACTGCATCTCGTTGTTTATCTAAAAAATACATTAGGAACTTTTTCAGAGCTTCAGACATTATCCTGACAACATTGCAACATTTTTATTTATTCAGCAGTAACTCTATTTCTCCAACTTAAAAGGGGAAAACTCTATATTTGAGAATATTGAAAAAGGTACAGGTATTCAGTCTTGAATGCATTTTTCATAAATCAAACATAAACTGCTGAAATTTAAAACTCAATCTTCATATAAAACGAAAGTCTCTTCCTATCTGCCTGACATTTAAAACTCATTCCTTAGATAAAACAAAAGTCTTCCTCAGCTCCTGCCTCCAAGCTTTCCCGGCCTATTCTTCTATTCATTCTGCTCCTGTAGAATAAATGGAAGGACCTCATTACATCTTAAGTTTGGAGTTAGGCTAGAGTCTAAAATTTAGCTCACGGTCATAACTGCCTGGCAAAATTGTCATCAACTCCTCTAGCTTAACTAATCTTCCTGTATCACTGACAAGGAATGCAAGTTATATCTGGAAGGAAAACAAACAGAGTTGTGAATATACACTGTTTCATAATGTCTGAGGTAACACCACTTTTACTTAAAAGAACTAGCTTCTGGAACTAAGTGTGGCTGTCCCCAAGTTCACGTGGCCCTCGCACCTCTGCTGTGGACTCGGCAGTAGCGAGCAGGGCGTGCTCCAGCTCTCGCCGCCGGCACTCCAGCTTCTCGATCTCGGCATCGCGGTCCCGCACATCCCTCTGCAGCTGCTCTTTGCACAGCAGCAGCTCACTGCACTGGCCTGCTTTCTCTTTGAGATGACTAGTTAACTTTTCAATCTGAAAATACAATGAAAAGTGTTTTAAAATGTAGGGCATTCATAATTATTAATTACTTCTTAAAAACTGCTTTCTGGGGCTTGAAAAGGTATCTCAGTGGTAGAATTGTGTAATATATGCAAGATCTCAGGTTTGATCCTCAGTATACCCCACCAAAACCAGGGATTTTAAAATATTTTAAAATATGTTAAGCTTATTTTAAATAAGGATAGCAATGGTCATCTCTAGCAAGAGTGACATTTAGTATGCTGATAAAACTTGGCACACTAGTGCAAAGAGAAACACTACTGCTTCACAGAACTCATTTAAAAACATGATTTTTCTAAAAATCATCACGACTTCATCCTGGAATAAAGAGAAAAAATACATTTTGAATAATGTGAATTATCTAAAGGCACAACACACTACAGGCTAATAATGATGTACTAAAGATGGCAGACTTGCAGCTCACTTGGTGACTTGCTGTTAGGTGAAGAGCTATGTCCTAAAGTCTTCTGCATGTTTCGTTTGGGAAGAATTATTTGGCAAAGGTTTAGTCTGTACATTCTCTGGGTTAAAAGAGATGAGAATATGAAGGAATCTGAATTTCTTTAAGTGCTCCTTCTCTGCCCAAAATAAATAGCAATTGTTCTGAGTCTTCTCTTTTAGGACTGATATACAGTACCTCAAGTGTTGAACAACAGAAATGGAAGAATATAGGAAGGATTAATAAGACAGTTTATGGACACACTCATCAAGTAGAAAGTACTAAAATATTGTAATTCTAAGAAACAGAGGAAATACTATGTTTCAGTGAGACACTTTGAAGAAATTACCAAAATGACAAACCTTGCTCTCAGAAAATTAAAAAATGAAAGCATAATCTAACTACAGTCTCCTAGATAGTAGTAATAAAGCTACCGAGAAAAAACTAGCAAGGACAGATGGAGTAGAGTCAAGAAAGCAGACAAGACAGCAGGTGTGATGGAATAATGCATTGGTTTCTAGGCAGTTTCCTGATGGGAGGAAACCAGAAGGCAGGGAGGGAGCAAATGAGCACTAGGTTCCTGGAGGCCTGCACAGCCTTGTCAGATGTCTCACGTTCTGTAAGGACACAGCCAGTTTTGTCAGCCTAAGACAACTTACATCACATGAAACCTAGGTGAGTGGTTCTCGACCCCTGTGGTGGTTGAATGACACAACACTTTGTTTTCTATTTCTTTAGAATTCTTGGAAGTAAAATGAAACCAAGTCAACTACATGAAAATTATAATATTTAGAATTAAAATTATTTCCAGAAATACACCGTAGTTATTCTAAGTGTCTACTAAGGCCATGCCAATATCCCTATAAAGTATAAGCTTTTCTGTAGGCTAAACAACTTGGTCACTGTAATCAATAAGCAATGACCCAGTGTTTGCTTTGCCTTAAGTACAATCTTGTTTGAACAGGAAAAGGCATCTTACATTTATACAGGGAGCCTTCCCTCACCTACATGGCACTCATGCAGTCATGAGCCAACAGAGCTCTGGCTACGTTGAAAAGGGAACAGTGGGGGTGAAGGATGTGGTGGGAAGGATCAGCAGGTGCCTACTGACTGAAGTTCCAGCCTGAAATGCAGGAAGAGAACTGATCTCACAAGTTGCTGTCTGACCGCCACATGTGTACTGGGACAGCATCCCATCGTTAACACACACACGAGAGAGGGTGAAACACACAGACACATACAGAAAAATATACACACAGATACACAAACAGTCACCCAGAAACACACATGCGCGTGTGCACGCGCGCACACACACACACACACATACAGACAACATACATACAGATACACATAGAACCACACACAGAGACACAGATAGAAACACACACACACATACACACACAGAGAAACATACAGAAACACACATGCACACAGACAAAAAGCAGCAGAGGCTGGTTAGGATGCTACCACAACTATCCAGACAAATAACCGTAACAGCTAGAACGTATGCAAATGAACAAAGGTGGAAACCAGATATAGTACAAATTCGACCTACCAACAGGATGGTGACTGGGCTGAGAAAAAGAACAACTGAAGAATATAGGTTTGAAGCAATGGAGGATGCATAAAAGATATGGAAATTATTGAGATGAAGAGTATTGCATATATGGTGGGAAAGGCAAGTTCTTCTATGGCTATACTGTTCTTGTGGTAAGGGGAAGGAGATGACAGTTGAATATTTAAGTGTGGAGCTCGACAGATATGTTGAAAGGAAGCTACAGATATGATCATTGATACTTGACTTCTGGGAAGGAAAAGAGACCTAATCCTGAGCCTTGGGGTGCTCCATCACTAATTCTGGTAGGTAGAAGAGAAACAAATGGGAGAGAAGACCAGTGGAGCAAGAGTACTGCAGATGCTAAGACTACACAATGCCTCTAGAAGCCTTTATGAAACACCTCTGAGCAGTTGTGTGGGTGAAGGCAGGAGTGATTTCTACAAAGCCAAGAGGTGCTAGGAAACCTAACAGAAACACTATGAATGGAACAGAGGGGAAAACTCAAGAGTACTGGATAACCTTCATAGCAAAACTTTAAATGGAGCAGAGGGTAAAAACCCAAAGACAGAGGAGCTAGAAACCTCCCTGGAGCAGATTCAAGAGAGAATGGGAGATTATGTAGCAAAGAGTGAATACAAATGACTTTTTTATTGTATTCATTCATGTCTTTGTGTGCGTGCTTGTTCATCTGAACATATGTCACAGCACACATACATACTTCAGAGAACCAGCTGCAGGGGTCAGTTCTCTACCTCCACTTCCCAGGAACAGCTTATTTGCCTTGGCAGCAAGTGCCTTTACCCACTGTCTTAGGGTTACGATTACTGTATGAACACCACGACCAAAAGCAAGTCGGGAGGAGGGGGCATTTGGCTTACACATCAGCATTGCTGTTCATCACTGAAGGAAATCAGGGCAGGAACTCACACAAGGCAGGATCCTGGAGGTAGGAGCTGATGCAAAGCCACGGAGGGGAGCTGCTTACTGGCTTGCTTCCCCTGGTTTGTTCAGCCTTCTTTCTTATAGAAGCTAGGACCAGTAGCCTGGGGATGGCATCACCCACAAAGGGCTGGGCCCTCCTCTATCAATCATAAGAAAATGTCTTACAGTCAGATCTTATGCAGACATTTTTTTCTCGATTGAGGTTTCATCCTTTTAAATAACTCAGCAAGTGTCAAGTTAACAGACATCTTGCTGATTAGTAAATAACCTCAAATCTCTTTTATTGGGAATGAGCATAGAGAAATGAGCAAGGAAGTTTATTTAGTTGTGTAATACACAGAGGGGAGTAATTTCAAATTTCAAACTTCCTCCCCTACCCGTTCCCCGTATTGATGTTTGAACAACAGACTTCAAACATGCTAGGTAAATACTCTTGAGACATATTCTCACTCCAATACAGTGCATTCTTATGGTTAACAGGTGCCTCATATTTAAATAACACAATTTTTTTTTTGATTTTTGACATTGACAAAAAGAACTCACTTTTGGGTTTTTTTCCAAATACCTTGTTTTACACTCAAGATAAAATAAGTTCAAGGGAGGACACTATCAGCAAGTCCTTACTTCTCTGGCTTGCTGCTCACTGCCAGGTTGAGGCCGAGGCACCACCTTAATTTGCTGCTCCAGCTTCTGTATTTCCATCTGGAAGATATCTCTTTCATGTTCCCTGTCCACTGTCTGCTCCTGAAATTTAACGACAATGTTAATAGTAATAATAGTGATGATGATGTTGATATTGGGATAGGCATGGTGGCACATGTCTTTAATCCCAGTACTTGAGAGGCAGGGGCAGGCAAATTTTGTGATTTCAAGGTCAGACTGGTCTATATAGCAAGTTCAACACTAACCAGGGCTTCATGGTAAGACCGTGCCTAAAAAATAAATAAATAAAATAAAAAACCTATATAACTTACGACACTATTATTTATTTAAATAATAAATAACAGTTTTTATATCCCTTTAGCTAGAGATTTAGAGATTACGGACTGATACATGAATACCCAAAACCACAAAGCTTTAAAAAAAAAAAAAAGAATTCTTTCCCACACAAAACTGTAGCATCTGGGTGGCTACATCCATGTAGCCATCTCACAATGTAATATACATCAAAATGGAATGTTGTGTGTCATGAATGTAAATTTGTCAGTTAAAAAATTAACCTCATTTTTAATATTTAAAGTCTCCATTGAGTCTAGTGATTGTCATTTTAGCTTCAGAAAACTTTTATATTCTTTAAAATTATTGATGATACCAAAGAACTCTGGCTAATATGGCTATCAATATTAAAATTATTAGAAAGTAAAACTGAGAAGTTTTAAAATATTTGAATCTTAAAAATTACAATAAGTGCAATAATTCAGCAATAACATAATACTTATCTTTAAAAATACCTATTTGTGAGAACTATAACCAACATTAATATTGGGAATAACAATATTTCCCGAGACAAGAGGCATTATTCTAGATCTTTTCTTTTTCTCATGTTTTCCCTTTTACTTAATGTTTTCAAATGTAAGAAAGGAAGGCAAGAGGCTCACACTCGGAGCTCTCCTGAATCCCAGTTGCATGTGCTTCCAGGGGGACTGTTGTCCTGTGATACTGCTGATGGGTTTATCTTCAAATGCAAGCAGCTGCTTGAAAAGAGGGCTGTTTTCAAGGAATTGGGATGGCGTTCCCTGATTCTACACCCCAGCCTGACGGGGTGGTGGTGGTGGTCTTCTGTTTCATTATGTGAGCAACTGGGGAGGAAATTAACTAAAATGTGCAAAAAACAGTGTCTGGGGTATAAAAAGGATTGTGTGAGGATTAGCTGTTGTTATTGTAGGTGATAAAGTATAGACAGCAAAGTCTATACTTTGGTGGTGGTGGTGGTGGTGATGGTGGTATTGCAGGACCTTGGACTTCCCATGGGGCAGGGAACCCTGACTGCTCTTAGAACTAGAGAGGGAGGAGGAGGTGGGGAGGGAGAGGGAAAAGGGAGGCCTTAGTGGTCATCCATCCATCCATCCATCCATCCATCCATCCATCCATCCATCCATCCATCCACCGACCCACCCACCCACTTGAACACCTACCTGTCCCATTTGTTGGTTCATTCGTCTGTTCATCCACCCATGAATTCATATCTGCCCATCCAACCAACAAAGACATGATTTCAAAATGTAGCTCAAGCTGAAGATACTTACATCAACAAATTTTCTCAAATTTTCTAGTTGTTTCTCCAGGGCTTGGTTTTGCTGCCTTAGGTCTGTTACTTCGGCATTTTTCTCCTGCTCCATTTCTATTAGCTTACTGATCTTTTCTTCAACGTCAATTTCGAGAATTTTAACTTGATTCTGGAGTTCACTGTGTACTTTTTCTGCTTGGCATTGTACTTGGAGCTTTTCTTTCATTAGCTTTTCTGTCTCTTGCAGAAATCCTGTTGGCAAATATGGCACAATACACTTGGGTAAATAATGATTTATAATATTATGATAATTAAGTCACAAACTTTTAAACCTTTAAACTTTATCATCATGAAGCAAAAGCTGAGAATTACTTTACATTAAAAAGTAAATTCATTTTTTGGAATATCAAAGTACTCCTACACAAGAAAGTAAACTACTATCAGACAGAATGAACAAAAATGAAAATTTCTAGTACAGAAAGGTATTTTTGTGAAAACAATATAGTAAATAACAGAATAATCCATTTTTATGATTAGGGAAAGAACAAAGTTCAATTGAATTAAAACATAAAACACTGTCCACATTTTTAACCATAGGCAATCCAAAACCAAAAGTCACCTTCATATGCAAACATAATAAACACAGTAAGCAAATACTGTAAATCTTTAACCAAGAAAAGGGGAACATAAAGAGGAAGAAGACGACAGTCAGAATTTAAGATTAGTGTTAAGTTTTATTACATTAGATCCATATCCCTGAACTACCTTTTTATGTTTACATGTCTTGCAGCAAGGGAACATGTACACGTATGGGATCGATGTGGTTAGTGCATGAGGAGCAGATTCAATTCCTACTTCCACTACTTTTCTCCTATGTGACATTTGATAAGACGGTCTTCAGTTTCATTATGTGAGCAACTGGGGATGAAATTAATTAATATATGTAAAAAACAAGTGTCTGGGGTATAAAAAGAATTGTGTGAGGATTAGCTGTTGTTATTGTAGGTGATAAAGTATAGACAGCAAAGAGAAAAAGAGAAAAGAACCTTCTAGAACTTTTATACTAACTGATGTGCCACCATTGTGATCAGATCTGGCTGGAATCTATAGAGAACATCTTTTCTAGAATAATATCATTACTATATGTTAGTATCAAAGTTAATCAGCCACAAAGCCTCTTAGTAAATTAACGGATTCATTTGCCACCATCAGCTTACCAACTCTTCTGTTTGGCAAGGAACACTCAAAAGAACCAGAGACCAGAGAGCTTAATTCATTCATAGAACAAAAACAGTTTGTTCCTTAACGATACTCAACATTTCTTTCGAAATACCAAATTGGTTTTGGACTCTGTGCAAAAGCAGATGAAATAAGATGATGCTAACTATGAATCTCAGGTGTTAGAAGCAAAACAAAACATCTTTTTATTGTAAATTAAGCTGTGTTACTGCTGAAAAGAAAACATTGTAAGTATGAAAGAAACACAACAGAGAAACTGCAAAATTAGAAACGTTAGTTAAAAACTGAGGGTCACCCAAATTTTAAGCTGTGAGTCTACCACCCAAAAACAGTGCATGCAACTGCACACACCTCCTCCGGGAGCTGCAGCAACTGCAGCATTTATTGGCCCTAGGAGAGTAAAAACAAAATTATAGTTATGTCCTCTACTTCCTCAAATATGATAATGCATAGCTGTACACACTAAAATGCTGACATCACTGGTTATCATTGTGTTACCCACAGTCTTTTACATATTTTGTATGTATTAATGAGACCTTTTAACCTTAAAAATTCCAGTCCTAAACTTTTGTCAAACTAATCTGAGCCATCTTCCCCCAACACACACACACACACACACACACACACACACACACACACACACACACACACGAGAAAATGTAGGTTTTATTTCTAAGTTGATGAAAATAGAGAAACTCCAAGTATATAGATCCCAACTGTGCATTTAAAATCAAAGAGGGTGTGATAAACAGGATTCAGAGTCCATGGTCACAAAGACAGATATTCACCACTCAACAAGTTTTAAAATCAAGATGCAAAAATTAGCTATTATAAAGTTAAATGTTCTTTGAATCCCCCTGAAGGAGATGTCAGATGTCTGCTGAGTCCCTTTGGCTTGCAAGCCCACACAGTCTACACCTGCTCATGACCAGCACCAGATCAGTGTTGACAACATTTTCACCACCTGTCTCCCACTAAAAGAACTCTGTTGTATCCATTTCCGAAACACACAGCCTCTTTACTTTTAGCTTTTTTTTTTTTTTGATAAGATGTTGGAGCATAAATAAATATCTTTTCCTGCTAAAAGTTAATATCCTTAAAAGGCAAAATAGAACATGATTCCATAAAAATGGCTAATAACTCATTTGCCTTTAAAGTATATGTTTTTAAGATTTTTCAAGTTTGTATATAAAATATATAAATAATGGCGCTGAAGGGGATTGTCTGTCGCATGAGCATCTGAAGAAGAAAAACAGAAGAGGAACTATATGATACAAAGTCTCAGTACATACGCTGCTCCACTGGGCCTGCCATCTCTCTCATCGCTGCCTTCTGCCTGGACAGCAGCTCTCTCTCCTCCTGCACCTGCTGTTGTTCAGCTTCCAGGTCTTGCAGTCTCTGGTTCGCATGTAACAATTGCTGCTCTAGGTGATCTATCACATACGATTTTTCCTGAATTTCTCTTTCAAAAGCAAGTTTTTCATCTGAATATCCATCAATAATATCTATAAGATACAAAGCAGGAGAATGGAATTGCTTCTAATTTAAATTCACAATCAGGTTTTGTTTTTTGAGATAGGGTCTCACCATGATACTCTACGTTAGCCTTGAACATTGTAATCCTCCTGCCTCAGCCTTCTAAGTGTTGAGATTGCAGATGTGTGTGTCTAGGCCAAGCTAACCATTAGGTATTAACAATAAAGACATCCTGTGAGCAAACTTTCTATCACTTCATCCCAGTAAAAGCCTGCTGCTGAGTTTTACTGTCATTTTGCAGTATTTTTTCTTGTTCACTGTACATAAACACGGAATCTACCACAACTGTCTAGTACTTGCTATACTAAAGTACCACAACACACATATGTAGTTCAGTTTATCAAACAGACAGAAACAGACAGGCTCCTGGGAGCTTAAAGTACAGCTTGTGAACTGGATCACATTTTAAATACATTAGAGAAGGTTGATACAACAATTCTAAAAGGCCAAACCCTCAATAGTCACAGACTAGAAGAGTGTTTTAGAGGTTAAAGTCTGCAATCACATTTAATAATGACTTTATACCGTACAAATAGCAACCTTAGCCTTAGTTTCTCAGTTTTAAGGAATGACCTCAGACTCACCATCATCTACTTTTTAATCACATAACTTTTTAATGTTATCTATAATTCTGTAAATTCTTTTTATAACGTGTGTGTGAGTGTGTGTGTGTGCATTCTTAAATTTTTTAACTGCTTAGGGAAACTCAGAGGACAAACTATAGCCATTTTCCAATGTTCACTTTAAATTAGACTGGGGGTTTACAAGCCAGAATATGCATCCAAGTCTCTATTTTAGGACTGAAACATCTCGTGTCTCGGTGAGCAGAGGCAAGGCACTTACTTTCAGCTCTATTCAGCTCCACGGCCAGCTGCTCTCTGGCGCTGGACTCATCCTGCAGTCTCTCCTGGAGCTCTTCTATGCATCTCAGTGACTCCGCTGCTTCCTGTTTCTGTCTCACCGCTTCACACACCAGCTGGGTTTGTGTAACTTTCGCATGTTCAAGCTAAACCAGGAGGGCAAGAGAATACAAAGGAAGGTAAGTATTGGGAATTCAGTATTATTTCTTGTAAACAAGCAAAAGAATAAAAAAGGATCTCAAATAAAGACATTAAATTACAGCCAAACACTTGCAGCACATGTTAAAGGTAGGATAAGTCAAGGCAAATACATACATTTGCTGTATGCCACGTTCTGTAAGAGATCTAGGCCAGTTTTACGGAGTTATAGAATATGCATCTCACTTTAGATCAGTCGACATACATTCTGTCATACAACAGGGGATAGAGCTAGTGTATCTGCTACAGACTTCCAGAGAGCTATGTGGTCCAAGACAAACCTTCAACATTTGGCTGTTAACATATTCAGTACTGACTGTATACTAACACATGGCGTCAAAAACAAAATCACAGGACAGCAATAAATAAAATTGTAACACGTACTTATTAAATAAAAGTATTATACTTCTGGAAAGAATCTGTAAAAACGTTAAAGCATCTGAAGATATTCAGCTTATTGAAAAACCCTAGACGAAAGAAACATGAAAAATCTAGTGCCCTTCAAATGCTATGAGCATAAAGATTCATGGGTGGCAGAGATGGAGAATGGACTGGAGCCACAGATCTGAAGCAGTGGTAAATGGTCACTGTTACTGAAACTCACAGAAAGGCAGTGACCCTGCTTGTGTCACCTGGCCTCTGAAGGGCCGTCCTCGCTACCTGTCTTCATCAGCACAAATCTGAGATTTTCAAAAACAAGGAGCCGCGTGTGTCTACAGTAGAGCACAGCAGGTCTTGGGGATCTGTGAGTTCACATGTACTCTGTGAAACTCAAAGATACAACTACTAACTTCTAAATTTAAAATATAACCACATATAGTGGTTTCTAGCTTAGATAGAAGTAATATATCATAAACACATTAATATTAAAATATAACTATATAATTCTAAAGATAATAAACAACCAATATATTAAAACAATGACATATTTAATTATGTTAATAATGCATGTATATATAATACTTAATATTATTTTGTGCTTCACATCTGAGTACTATCTATGGGAAGACTAGACTATAGTGTCACTAAAGCTTACGATCACTTTAAATTAATGGTTCTCAACCCTCCAAGCTGCCACCCTTTAGTACAGTTCCTTATGTTGCAGTGCCCCCAATCATAAAGTTACTTTCATTGCTACTTCATAACTGTAATTTTGTTGTTATGAATTATAATATAAATCTGTTTTTCAATAGTCTTAGGTAACCCCTATGAAAGGGTCAGGTCATTTGATCCCCAAAGGTGTTGAGATCTACAAGTTGAGAACCACTGATCTAAATAAATGTCCAAATAGCCACATGTAATTATTCTTGTTTTAATAAGACACTTAAAATATCACTTAAAACATTATTTCAATGAGAGTTCATATGAAATGGGAAATATCACCAAAAGGATAAAACTTTTATATAAACACATTTAATTGGGAAAAGGATTTATTCTTTTAAAATGCAAAATACATTTACTTAGATTGTAAAGAAACATGACCAGAAAGTGTGAACTCATCTGTATACAAATACCTTTTTTAATTTAGTTGCAACAGCTATTTCCAAAAGTATCCATCACTTCTGCATATGCACATGTAAATCTCTCCAGGAAACTAATTATCACCTAATAAAAGTAGGAATTCTCTAAGAGTTCAGATTGTAACCAAAACAGGTGCATTTCTTTCCATGTTTCAGATTTATTACAGAAATTCAATAGAGGATTTAAACAAAATAAAATCCTGCTTTACATGAATGGACTGCCAAACCCTTACTTTTATTTCTCATTTCACAAGATTTAAGCTAGTTAGTATGACAGTATACATAGAAATTTACAACAAGAACAAGAAAAAGCAAAACAAAAACTTTGAAGCAATAAAACAAAATGAAGCTATGAAACAAATTAGGACAACACACTGGATTCATACTTCACTGGAATAAAAGATCCTCTTCAAATTTTCACCTAAATAATTTATACTTGAATTTCTTCCCCACAGGTAGAGCATGATTGATCCATACCATGGGCAACAACATGCAATACATACAAAAAATAAAATAAAATCCAGAGTTTTAACTTTTCAGCAAACAGCATTAAACTATGCGTAAAGCATTAGTAAATATTCTGTCACTTTAAAAATTGTTAGTGAGGTAGCAATTCTCACTAACTAATTTTAATTCTTAAAATTATCTGGCACAGTAAATAATAGCTACGATTTATAAAGCCATGCAAGTCATAAAAAATGCTGAAAAGCCCATAGAGAATGTTCACAACATATATAAAGATGCTATGAACCAGAAGTCCTGAACATGCAGGCATTTTTACACTGAGCATTTGATCTTAGAAGTGTTCACAAAATATACTTCATGTTAAAAGCTAAAAAGGTTATTTCTCTATGAAATTAAGAAGCTTATTAAAACAGAAAACAAGTCCATGTGGTCGTAAAAAGCATTCAGAACACAAGTTCCCTTTTCTATGTCTATAGCTACAGCCAAGAGGGCACATCACTACAAACACCCCCAAGTGGCACAGCAATTCACTAGGCAATCTGAGGCAGCATAATACCCATTTTCTCACAGAAATTCACTGATTTTTTTCTTCTTCTTATTTTGGGTCAGTATTACAGACAAACACTCTTAAGGATTGGAAGGCTCTTTTTAAATAGCTTGACTGGTACTGAAGAAATGTAATATTTAGCTCATTGTACTATCTTGAGTCAAAAGCAGTGAAGTTGGGGTCTGAGGAACAAATTTATCACTTCTGCCCACCTCAGGTGTGTGGGCAGTAACACCCAACGATAGGCAAGCTAGGGTCTGCTCCAGTTAACCTCTATAAAGACAGTGGCATTTCCAACTCATTACAGTGCACTACATCGTTAAATTACTACTGTATACTTACTGAATAAGGAGGGGTGGGCAGTGAAATTTTAGAAATAAGTTTTAATATGTGTCCATTTCTTTCGTGAATAAAATGAAAAATAGAAATGTTGATAATTACTGAGTTATTTTCATCCAAATGTTCAGACAGAGGATAAGGATACGGCAAAGGCACACGAGACTCAACTTCATAAAAGTCTACCTCCTGTTCTTCCAATGAGGAGCCACTAAGCTGGACAGTGGTCGAACAGGTCCTGTAAGAATCCATTCTATATGAGGTGCCGAGCTTCTTCTGCTCCATCAGTTTTCTTTATGCCAACTACATTAAAGTTCCTTTGAATTTATCAAGACATTCTATACTAGTACAAAATTTTCTCTTTAGTATTTACAAGTAAATTATAATTCATAGAAATTCAACAACAAAAAGCTGATACAAAAGTTTAGCTTAAAACAAAAAACTATCCCACAAAATCCATCAAGTCAAAAACCAAAATAGAAGAAAACCCCCACAACCCAATAATTAATGCAACAAACAAAAAATATAGTTCCAACCAGTATAATTAAATCCTCGACAAACAAAAAGAATAAAACAAGGATCTAATTAGCCAAGCAATAGAACTGCTCTCAGTATCCAATGTGTCTAAGGTAATAAGCAGGCAAGGTCAGCTTGTAAATCTCCCTGGTAGCACTTGAGGAACGCTGTTGACTTTCTCTAGCTCTTCAAGCCTCACAATTCAAAAAGAAAAGCTCCTCTCAACTGAGCTATTCAAATAACCCCCATGCTGAGCCAAAGGAGGAACAGGCTAGCGCAGAGGGTGTGGTTAAAGTCTGTACCTACAGGTGCGTGGACAGGTAGGATGAGAGTAAGGACGCCAACACAAAAGCCTGCCTACCAGGATTCAGAGCGTTGAAAAGGGTATTTAAACAAGGTTATAATGCTTTGGAGATAAGCTAGTATTTTCCGTTCCCACTAGAATGCTGCTTTAAGAGTATAAAATAGAAAGTATGATTGTATTCACATTTTTAATTCAAGCACATCAAAAATCATCAGTTCTGAAAAACTAAATTAGAACCTGTGTTATATTTCCTTAGAAACAAGACATTTAAGAAGCCACTGACTTATACATGTTTTGGCTACAACCCATTTTCAGTTTCTAGAGTGCACGTCAAGGACAATTTCCTTTTAAAGCTGTATTACATATATTAGTTAGCAATCACATGCCGACAGCAGCCCATTGGTCCTGACTAAGACGTGAAAGCCCATGTTGGTCATGACCAACAGCCAGTCTCCCACAGCTGCAGAAACTTAGGCAATGGTGAGTGAGACAGTCACTCAAACATTTAAAAGATAAATAACTTACTTAAAAATAATCCTGACAAAGATTCTCAACAATGAAAGTTGCTTTAAGTAACAGACATTCATTTTGATACTTGTGTTTTTTTATTCTGTAACGAAATATGCCAAACCCACAAAAAAACTGTATCTAAATGGAAAAACTTACACTAAAGAAAGAGGTAATACCATGAAAACTGATTTCACAGTCACTCTCATTTCAGAGTCTGTACTGGTATTCAAATCTTTCCTAGCAAACCAGTAAGCAGGGCACGAAAAAACAAAATCAGAAGACCATGACCACCACCCACACACACAGGAGAGAGAGAGACTCTTCATAGGAAGTCCAGGACCTAAGGCTGATGGCTCTGGTTGGGGAGCAGTGAAACAGAGAGGTGTCTACATGCTGGGAGTTCTTGCTGGCTACAAATGCTTATGCCCTCCAGTTGCTGAAAATGTCTTCTCATCTATACAAGATGGAGGGATAACCCTATTACTGCAGCAGTGAAATGTAATTTTACTTTTTTCCCGGTGTGTGTGTGTGTGTGTGTGTGTGTGTGTGTGTGTGTGTGTGTGGTGCATATGTATACATGGAAGCCCAAGGTAGAAGTCAGGAATCATCTGAATTACTCTTCCACCCTTGTTGAAGCAGGGTCTCTCTACTAGACCGAGTTTGCCAATGTGGCTTGCCTTGCTACATTGTGTGCTCTGGGGTCCCCTGTCGGCTGGGATTGGAATTACAGATGAGTCACCAGATTTAACCTGCATTTTGCGAGTTCTGGGGATCAACTCTGACCTTTGTACTTGTGTGCAGGTGCTGTAACCAGGGAGCCATCTTCTTGGCCCTGCATTTAATTTACATTTAGCATATGTTTCTTGCTCAATATTGTTTATGCTTGTTTTAATTCTAATTTTTATATTTGATATCTGTTCTTATTATATACAGTTTTGTGTATATGGTTATTTAAACAAGAGGGGGGAGGTGATAGGGAACGTCCTTCAGTCAATGGCCTTTGAGAACAGGACCAGGTTGGGCATGGCATTGAGTGCTAAAAAGGTGCACACTTGGGCTCCTGCTTTCTCTCTCTGTCTCTCTCCTCTCTTGCCTGGATGCTAGATTCCATTCCTGTTCCCTGCTTGTGCAGAGGACTGTGATCTGAGTCCCCCTTAAATAAAGAACCCCTTATTATACTTAATTCTGAGTTAGTGTAGGATTAATTTATTTGCTTTTGAACTTTTACAGTGGAAATCAGTACCTCACAGTCACCTGCAATGACCCTTAGTGGAGGCCAGCTCAGGTGCAGAGCCTGTCCTGTCCCCTAGTGCTGGGGTTCTACGTCTTCCCTCCCTCAAGGAACTGGGTAGAAAGTGATGCTCTGCCCTGCATCTATCACACTAACTCATCTGGTTTCCACCTGAGAAAATCCCACTCTGTCCTTTTCATGCTAGTTCAATTTGCATTCAAACTAAATCAAAATTATTCAAAAATAAATCAAAATTGATTTATTTCTTCAACTGCTAAGTCTCAACTTTTAATTCTCCTGTATCATTCTATTAAACTATTTTCAGCAGATTCATTGATGACTACCATACTGAAACGTGCAAAGGTCACTAAACTTTAAGCACCCGAACTTCTCCTTGGTCTGCAACACTTTTGGTAACTCCTCATGGAGCTTTTATGAAATTACCTCTACGGCCCTACTCTCACCTCTGTTTCTCAATATCCTCTGTGTATTTACACACTCTAGATTTATGTCTCCCCCCGCTTTTGTACCAGTATTCTATGAGCACAACCCCCCCCACCCCCATTTTGTAGCTCCTCTAGAGTATGAAGCTTGTAATGAACTGAATTTCAGACACCTGGCTTGCAGTGTGCTTCGCAAGGCTGGTCCTCGAGGGAAAGGGGAGAGAAAAAGAAGCACAACCATACTTTCAAATTCCTAGAAATGATGACATCCCTAATCGAGTACTCACCAAACTTCAGACTACCTACAGAATATCAGAGGTCTGATAGCATCCACACTTTCCCACACTTCTCAACCATGGCATTAAAATGCAGCTTCTCTGCAACAGAAGCCATGACTCACTTCTTCCATACCTTAGGACTCAGGCCGAACGCACTCCCTTCATTTTCAGTGCACCTTTTCCAGTGAATTAGACCAATCTCTATTACATTCCTAACCACACTGCAAATCAGTTCCCACCCGCCAAACTTCATCTCCACTACTTCTCACCTTCTGGGACATCCCGAGTCTCCCATCTTTCCACATTTGGGACCTCTTTCCTCACCACACTGCCATTTCACGAACCTCTCGAAAAGCAAAGATTTGATATCGTTTTTCCTACTAAAATAACTTAATTACTTCCTACATCTCTTTTTCAGTAAAAAGTTCACAATGGACTCTGACCTGTGATCATCACCCATTCATAAGCTCTCATAATATGGAACTATCTACTTCTCTTCAACACAGGGCTGCTTTACAACAACATGCTAAGCCAACTGTCACAAATTTTCTTCTAGATCACACAGCTAGCTTTTCCTTGTCTTCACTTCACTTCAACCCACTCTCTTAAACCAGGCTTTCATGTCTGCTATTTTACTGAAATGGTCTTGAAAATCCCTAGTGATGCCAGGATTTCAAACCCCATTTTCAGTTGAACTCATATTACCTATCAGTGTTATATGAGAAGGAATCATCTCATTCCTGTTCAGAGGTACTGATTAAGAACACTGACTCTGAAGCTAAATTGTAACTCTACCACCTGACTAGTAAGCTGGGCAAGTGACCTCTGGAGCTTGTTTCTGTGTCTCTATCCTGCAAGTACTCACCAATCCCAGTACTCCAGTTTATCATTAGCAAAGCCACAAAGTGTTGGTTTTGAAAAATGAGAATCTCAATACCCAAAAATGGAAACAATCCCTATGTCCTCTAATCAACGAGCCCACAAACTGTCGCATCTATTCAATGTAATATTCCTCATTACACACCATAATATTCCTCATTACACACCATAATATTCCTCATTACACACCATAACCAAATCAGAAGTACAGTTTGTTAAGGCGATTGAAGGAAGACTTGAAAGAGTACATAAATATGATTTAATTTATGATACTCTTAAAAATATTAAGTTGTGCAGACTGAGAAGCCATCGATAATAACACTGGGACTTGTTTCTACTGCATGTGCTGGCTATTTGGGACCCTAGTCTATTTGGCTGTACACCTTCCTAGGCCTGGATGGAGGGGGAAGAACCTTGGACTTCCCGCAGGACAGGGTACCCTGCCCTCTTTTAAGGAGGGAGGGGGAGGGAGGAGGGTGAGTGAGGGAGCAGGAGGGGAATGGGAGGAGGGGAGGAAGTGTAAATTTTTAAATGGAAAAATAAATAAAAAAAGGAAAAAATATTAAGTTGTATTGTGACTTCAGTCTAGGTATATGTACCTCTCAACTGGTACAATTGTCCACATAGAGTTAATTTCATCAAATTAAAAAGAATCACCACAGGAAGAAACCAAAATGGAAACAGTTCACAAATTAGGTGTATATGCGAAGACTGACACTGGTATGGTAAGGAAGAAAAGAGTAATACAAGGTGTGATGTATATATAAGGCTAAAGACAAAAAGAATTATCTATATATATTTTATTATAAACTGTAGTAGTACACTTGTTTCTACTAGAGGTATAGATTAGCAATTTTGAATTACGACTTACCCAAGGTTAAAGGCATAAAGTAAAAATGCAATAGAAATGGAAAATCTTTCCTTACTGTTGGAGAACACTTTCAAAGACAAAGGGGAAGGGAAAACAAATAGGAACTGGAAGTATCAGCATAAATTTTATTGTTTTTGGAGACAGGATCTTTCTACACAGTTCTGGCTATTCTGTAACTCACTATGGGTAGACCAGGATGAATTCAGAAATCTGTCAGCCTCTGCTTTCCAAATGATGGGCAATTGTTTTATATAAATGTACATACATACATATTACATACGCATATAATTTCAAAATAAATTTAAAAGGAGCTGTGATATCCAAGTAACTATGAGCACATTCGGCACCCAGATGGTGGTTTAAGTAGTGTTTTCCAATAAAAGAAACACGTACTTTTTGGAGAAGTGGTTGATTCTAAAGCTGGGGCAGAGAAAACACGAAACAGGTGTATCTTACAGGATAAATGTTCAAAAGAGAAAGCCTTCTCAAAGGGTACAAAAGCTGACCTGAAGGTCTTCTCAATGCTAAAGTTAGAATAAAGCAAGTAAACAAGGTATAAAGTTTACAGAACAAAGCAGTCCCAAGTCCATAATTCTGACTTGGAAGCTCACACTTTAGAAAAATTCTCAATAAATAAATGAATGAGCAAAACATAAAATCATCATTAGACCAGCACAGTATCATTACTACAGGTTAGGGCCAACATGAATAATCTTGTGTGTATTGCTGAAGATAGGTAGGAAGATGTCAGAGCTGAAGTCCGGGAGGAATGGGGTCAAATTGTTTTCTAAACATGACAGGACCACTGCATTCATAAACCAGCAGCCGGGCTTGCCTACACAGGATCAAACCAGGAATGGGCCAGCAGGGTTGGCGGGGGGTGGGGGGAAGCAAAGGAGATCACATCCTTAGCTGAGGAGCTCTTCAGTTGAGAGTAGGCTATCTTTAGGGGTGTGGTCTTTGGTAGGTTGACCATGCTCCGGTGGATGGCCCCAGGAATGACAACCACACGATAACTAAAGGAACTGAGTCTGGAATGGAAATGTAGTAGTAACGGTATTTTCCACAGCCGCCCTCCCAGCGCTACTCTAAGGACAGGCTGAACTGAGCAATCTCCTAGAGAAGTATCATCAAAGAACCAAACGTCAGCAATGACACAGGAGTCTGCTGTTCAACCTCTCAACTTGTTTCAAAATTCTGGTTTAAGATGAGTACAGACAATAATGAAAGTATTAATTTACTCTGTACTTGATAATAACAGCTGTAAATTCAATTGCCTTAAGATAAACATTTTGAAAATAAGTAAATTTCATTTAAAAGAGCCAATTATTTTAAAATTCTGCATACAGTAATTTAAGAGTCAATGATCATAAAAGGTATAGTAAAAATTATATAGAAAGAAAATACCAATTTATAAATAGCAAAATCTTGAAAGGTTTTGATTTTTAAAAACTACTTTAAAAACTGTACCAAACTAATTTCTTACCCAGAAATAGCTTGAAGGCAAACTCACCACTCACACATGTAAAATGGTTGCAAACAAAATGTGGAAGGAATTACATTAAGTGTGATGGGACGATGTTAGATATTCTACAGCGTAAAGGCCAGACAAGCTTCCACAGAGGACATTTTAACGGAATATTTCCAACAATGGTAGAGCTAAAATCTCTGTGATATATCTGTTTGTTTGTATACTTATTGTTTAGTGCAGAGAGTGTGCATTGCACAAGCCTTGTTTGTACCTGACCTCTGATCTCTTTTCACACATTTTATTTTACTTTAAAGACAGGCCTACCACATAGATGGAATTAGCGGTTTGCTCCCTTGCGTTCAAGCAATAAAGGAAGTCTGGCCAAATCTCTGAAACAGTAAAGAGAATCATACAGTCCACATCACACTCAGCAGAGACTTGAAGGTAACAAGCTTACCTGACTGCTTGTTTCACTTATGGCCTCAAGAAGTTTTTCAACTGCCGCTTGTAGTCGAGAGCTGACATTCAACATAAATTGTACATTTTCAGGGTCCACTTCAGATCCAGCAAAACTACTTGTTCCAAACTGCTGTGATAGATCGGATTCTTTGTCAGTAACATTTGACCACTTGCCGTCATTTCTTGCTATGGCATTTCCAGGGTAAGAGGGTAAGGACTCATTCGTAACTAGAATAATAGTAAGTTAAAGACATAAATTAGTCAGAATATTTAAAGTTACAACAATAACTGAAGATATCAAGACAAATTAAACTTGCATCATTATAATTTCAAGATCTTCAAATAATAACATAACGAATATACAGTAAGACTAGGAATGGATAGTGTTGAGTTTAGAAGAGTACAAAAGTTAATACTTGGATTATTCAGAATCTTTTCTGGCAGAAAAATTATTCCTTTGGTGAAGGGGATTAACTGGAGCTTTAGTTATGTGTACCGTCTACTGAGCCACACTCAGTCTGATGAAAAGCCACGGGGACAACTTAAAATTGGTATTTAGCCAAGTGATATCACACAGTGACAGTGAAATGAGGACTTGGAAGCTGGAGGGCTGGTCCCCATCTTCACACTTTACAGTGCGAAGAGAGAAGACACAGAGACAGCAAAGCTGAAAGCGCGTTGACGAGGGAGCTCCGTGATTAAGCACTTGCCACACGAGCATGAGGACCCGGGTTCCATCCTCAGCACCCACATAGAGCCACGTGTGGTGGAGCCCATTTGTAATCCTCGTCCTCGGGAGGGGAGAGAGGTGCACAGACAGGAGGACCTGGGGGCCTGTGAGACAGTCTAGGCAAAATGGTGAAGCTACAGGTTCAATGAGAGATCTGTCTCAAAGAATAAGGTAGAGCGTGACAGAGGTAGATCCCTGATGTTGACCTCTGGCTTCCACATGAACACACGTGACGGAGGACACACCATCTACTGCCATTGCCTCATACCCCATCTTATTATGCAGCAGAACAGTCCAGGTATGCTGAAGAAGACAGCATGTGCTTGTATTTATTTAGACCAGATCTTTTGACTTTTGAACCTATTTAGGGTAGGGACTGATTTGATTGATGACACATTCAAATGGGCTTAGACAATTTTGTTATGTGCTACATTTGCAGTGGCAGAAAGAGGAAAAAATACAGACTAATTTATTCTTATTTATAGTATTGATTTATTATTTTTTATGTAAGGAAGAGGTTATCAGAGCTAGAGATCACCACACTCAGCAGGAGAGCACACTAGAGCTCACCACACTCAGCAGGAGAGCACTCTGGAGCCATGAAATCTGAGGTAGCTTTTCTAACCACATCAAATCACCTCTACTAACACATCAGTGGTGACAGAATACAAAAGAATACGAAACTAGAAAAGTGTGCATTCTAGGGCACAATTTTACACATTTGCCTTAAAAAAAATTTATATATATATGACTGTTTGCCTGCATGTACATATGTGTACCTTGTGCGTGCCTATACAAAGTTCTGAGCCACCGTGTAGGTGCTGGGAACCAAACTTGGGTTCTCAACAGGAACAGCATGCCGAACCATCTCTACAGCCCCACAAAATTTACTACTACATAATCTAATCACTGGCATAGCAGTTAATATCATTTTTACTTTGAATCCTAGTCTCCAAATTAAAAAAGCACAAGTATTATATTAGTACTTCTTTATATTATACCATGCATTTAAAACCAAAGACCATGATAATGGGACAAATACTTCAAAAGTGTTATAGTTCAAGATGATTTTGGGATTCAAAATGGTATATAAAGTATACAAATAGTACAGTATAATACACACTGTAACATTTACTAAGTCAAATGAAGCTGTCTCAGAAATAGCTGATATTTTTGCAGAAGCTATGGAAGCAAGAGTTTTTATTTGGTACTGAGGAAACATAACCACTTATGCCATATACTACCTATATCTGTGAAGTTAAGTGCATTCTAGTGACATTTGTTTTTCATGGGTTTGGAGAAAATGATAAATATGAGACAAAGAGAACAGTCTGAAAAGATAAAACACTAGTCTTTAACAAACAAAAATACATGGCAAAATAGTGAAGAATTTTAGAAGAAGATAATTAGAAAGCAGGCTGGATCCGAGTTGTGAACTGTCTTAGACTTTGTTGGAACTTTAGGGTTTTTCTAAAGATTAAGACGAGTTAATCATATTTTTAGATAGGAATACAAGGGCAAATATAGATATCAGGAAACACATTTTAAGAATACATACAAAAGAACAGATTGGTTAAAAGGCCATTTCAGCTACCCAATGAGAGTGATGAGATACAGTGGTGTAAAATGACACAAGTAATGAACTATGATGAGGGAGAAGACACAGTTGGACATTACAATGAAAAAGAAAGGCAAGAAGAAGCTGAGCTGATTCTGTGACTTAGATAACTCCTAATGACAGCAACACTAAGGAACATACTAACAGATCAGCAGACAGTCTAGCATGTGGACACAAATGTGACTGAAGTGTTAAGAGGACATGTACAGCCAGACTGTAACATGAGAGGGGACCTGCTTGTTTGTGTTTTTTGTCCTGCCTGGTACCCCACAACCGGCAAGCCCCAAGGAAAATCACACAGAGGACTCCGTAAGTTATAAACCTGATTGGTCCATTAGGTCAGGCTACTTATTAGCTTATATTAACCCATTGTTCTTATCTATGCTAGTCACATGTTTCAATACCTTTCTCAGCAGGGCAGCTCACATCTTGCTTCTTTGGAGTCTGGGCAGGAGTGGGAGGAATCAGCTTCCTTCTTCCCAGAATTCTCCTGTTCTCCTTGCATCATTTCTACTTCCTGTCTGGTTTTCCCTCCTATACTTCCTGCCTGGCCAATCAGCATTTATTTAAAACATGATTGACAGAATACAGACAATTCTCCTACTCCACTTCCCCCTCTTAAAAAAAAAAACAAAACAAAAAACGAAAAACAAAGAAAAATATCCATAGTCCATTTTTTGGGAATGTGGGCATAGTATTCCAGGCTACTTCCAGCTGGTTGGGTAGGATTTGCCTGGGAGGTAGAGACAGACGGATCTCTGTCAGTTCAAGGACAGCCTGGTATACAGAGTTATTCCAGGACAAAGCTATACAGAGAACCTGCCTCAAAAAGTAAAAGTAAAAATAAAAGAAACAGAGGTTAAAATAAAGCCACATAAAGATGGAAAATATACAGAGAATCTTGATACTGTATGCTACTATGCTCTCTTTAAATTGTTTGAATGCTGAGGAAGGAGCAACAGTTGTTGAAAGATATTTGCTTATAAATGCTGCAGAATTAATCCAAGATGGGTATTTTGAAAATACCTTGACTTCAAAATTGAAGTCAAAAAGTATGTTACTTTGGAGAAGAGATTTTGCTTTTGTTTCCAAAGAAAACGAGAGGCTGTGGATTTATTCAGAGTTAAGAAAAATCAGCTTTGATCAAGGAAGACTACCTGAGAAATCTCCAGCAGAAACAGATGGTCCAGATGTCTGAGTTCTTCATCCAGAATAGGTTCAAGACTGCTTTCTGAGATGATCAGTACTTCAGTCAGGACTTGATCGTAACTCTAAATTTTCTTTAGGTTCCCATAAGATTATCAGCGCCCCCAACCAGCTGGAAGTAGCCTGGAATACTACGCCCACATTTTCAAAAAATGGGCTATGGATATTTTCCTTTTTTTTTTTTTTTAAAAAAAAGAGGGGGAAGTGGTACGGGAGAATTGTCTATGTTCTGTCAATCATGTTTTAAATAAATGCTGATTGGCCAGGCAGGAAGTATAGGAGGGAAAACCAGACAGGAAGTAGAAATGATACAATGAGAACAGGAGAATTCTGGGAAAGAGGAAGCTGATTCCGCCCTCTCCTGCCCAGACCACCGAAGCAGCAGGATGTGATCTGCCCACACTGAAAAAGGTACTGAACCACATGGCTAAAATAGATCAGAACAATGGGTTAATATAGGCTACAGGAGTGGGCAGGAAGCCTGAGCAAATGGGCCAATCAGCTTTATAACTTATAGAGATCTCTGTGTGATTTTTTTTTGGGGCTAAACAGCTGTGGAAACTGTGTGGGACAGAAAACACAAACAAGCCGGCCCCATCATGTTACAGTCATACAGCATGTTTTAAGTTTGAGTCTACAACTTTTAAGTCTGTTTTATAAATGTGAGAGTTGAAACACTCAAATGTATGCATTTGTTGTAGAGACAGCATTTAATGAGAAGGAAAGGAGTCTCATACACATCACAGGCTAACAAAAGTTCCACTAAATATAGTCAAACAGAAAGGCAGACAGCTGAGATGAAAGAGAACATTTAAAAAGAAAAACTTCAATTCTTACCTGAACAAATGGGCAAGCATGGAGAAGCTAGTGTGGATTTAATGGTTTAGTTAGGGTTTTCTGAGAATAGCAATGTTACTCAGGTTGACAAATGGCTAGATTAGTCTATTCTTTCTTCGGTGTGCTAAAATTTTGGGGAGGGCAAAGATGAGATCAACCAACACTTAAAAAAATCAAAATAAAACAAACACCAAAACAGCATGAAGAATGCAGAATGACTTGTGGTCAGAGGAGCAGTCACTAAGAAAGAGACTGGGGTACTGGACAGACATGACAGTAAATCTCAAGCACAAAGTACGGGGGACATGAAAAACAAAGCACAGCAAAAGTCGGGGCTTTCAGTGTTTCTGGAATGACTAATTAAAGAATTACGAACTAAAGCACCCAAAAAACAAAGATGAAACACATGGCAGTTCTTTTATTTCATGGGTTTGTTTCAGGTTTCATGTTTTAGGTTTTAGGCAGGGTCTCCCTTATGTGGTAGTCCAGGTGTAGGGGCGACCCTGCCTAGATCCTCTTCTCCGGGCCACATAGTCAGTTCAAGGCTACCCTGCTACACAAAGCAAAATCATCTCAAAACAAACAAGTAAGGAAGGAGATAGATCTATGAGAGTTATTAAACGTGTTCAGCGTCATGATGAAGCTGAAAGGAGCCAATGCCTTCTTATTATTAGTAAGCTGTTTCTGTTCTACAGCACAGCACTGTGCCAAAAGGAAGCTGTGCAAAGCAAACTCTCACCGCAGAGCAGGGCATCTGTCCTCTAAGATATCTCAAAGTAAAAGAAACTAACAACAAAGGAACTCGTGCTATCAGATGACCTACTCACCATTCCCTCCACTGGAGTGAATCCACACTAGATCAACTTTGCCTTTCAACTTCATAAACTAGCTTATTCTCACAAGGAAGCAAATATTAACAAATCAATTACTTATTCCTTCAAGGGTTACCAAGTCAACACCTGTTTAAAAATCTAAACAAGTTCAGACTTGAAGATTGAAAACAGGCCACATATATTACAAGAAAAACACACACACACACATAAAACTGAGGAGTAAAAGTCACTCTATAATCAAATTAAAACTTAATTTTTGTCATGTCAAATGAGACATTAAAAAAAAAACCTTTAAAGGTGTATTTTTGCTTCTATTAAAAAATATAAAGAAATGCCAGGACAAATTCTAACATACAGAGCATATTAGTAATATTGTAAAGTCAGTACACTATTGGAGTTCATGAAAAATTCAACATTTTAAAATCATAAGTTATTTCAATTGAATATTTATTTAAAAATGAAAACTGGATCTGTGAGTGTCACTGAATGGTAACGATGGCTACATCAAATAATCAGCAAAGTCAACAGCATAGCTAACCATAAAAACAAAATGTCAACTGGAGAGCACACATTACAACCAGTGATGACAATGCTGGCAAAATGATCTTTGAAATAACATTCCATATATTATGCTTCTCTGTGGATTTTAATTTTTCCTCTTAAATTGTAATATTATTCTTCTAGAACTGGATACCAGTTAAATAATATTTTAAGGACTTAGTTATTAAGACACACGTAAAACCAGTTATGCTCTGATCTTGCCTCTGGCGGGTACGCCGGTACTTCCTGCTATTAGTAATCTGAATGGCTACAGAGCAGAAACAATGGAGAAAATGCTCAGTGACCATCTCGGCAAGTTCAAGACATGGCTATATAACTCAGCTGGGATGCTTATTATTAAGAAATAACTACTAGATTTGTAAACTAAGCATAAAAGCACCTACAGTGGAAAGTTTAGACATCCTTATAAGAAGACTCACTGATCAGATATCCGTTGGGGGTCTGCATTTTCAGACAATCTTCTGTGCTAGAGTTATTGACAATTTATCCCTTTTCTAACGTCCAGAAAACTGCTTGGAGGTGAGCTCAATGTGGTTTTAGCGTCCATGACAACTGCTGACACACAGTTCTGCAATCCATCCCTCAGGGTGTTTCTGACTGCAGACATCAACCATGAGTGAGCTTCCCTAGAACAGTGAAATGCCTCCCTATGTGGCGTAAGTAAAACCAGTTCACTGTTTTCTGTTTTCCTAAAGTTTAATTTGATTAAACACTTTTACATGTTTAAATTAACCTTGCTCTCTACACATCAGGATCCACACATTAAAAAAAAAAATCCCTTTGCTCTAGAGCTTATTCAGGGGAAATATTAATCTAAAAAGTTAATCCACCAACTATGAAAAGAGTAAATTTGAAAAGAAAGTTTAAAAATTGCTATTATTTCAGTTCTTTACAAAACTATTTTAAAAATTATCTCTGAACTATACTGAGGTGTTCTGAAGCTAATCTTCTTTAAAGATTTAAATCAAGTTTTCCTTTGATCTGAGAAGCACACTGCTGACTAACCTATAATTAAGCACACCATTTATATTTGGATGTTTTCTTCTATTTCTTCACAGAGAACTTAGCAAGCCAAATGCCTTCAAAATTTCCAAAGCAGCATTTTGGAAGAGCTGCCTCTGGCTAGGGAGTAGACTCGGATGAAGGATGGAAGTAACTAGATCTGATCTTTGAATGTAAGATTTCAGACCCTACTTTTCGGAACCTGACAAAGCTTTGTCTTTTGATTTCCTGACTCTTCTTCAGCGGGGAATATGGAACTGAAAAAATACTAAAATCTAGAGATTAGCAAGATGATGGCAAGAGGCCAAAAGAACAACAACAAAAAAAGCTCAGTCTACACAGCCACAGAACTAAGAAGATGGTGAGAGAAAGTCAGAACTGAGTCCCAACATGCAGACAGGACACACTTTCCAGAAGGCAGAGAGGACCTATCAGAGGATAGTCCAAAACAGGATCAACTCAGGTTTTATAAAGACTTATTTAATTTTTTCAAGTAGTGCGAGATTCCTGGAAATGCCCTCATTTTACCCTTTCCTTAGTTTACAGGAGGGTATCAGCATCCTGAGGAGTAAAGCATTATCGTTCTTTAGTAGAAGTAGAGAAAACGGGGACAGCCCGAGGCACCCATTTGCAAATGCTAGACAGTAAGGGTGTTTGAGAAGATTAGCTTTAAAGTCTTTGTGTGGCATAGTTCCTTAGTTGCAAAAACATTGACTATTCTCCCTTATGTATTTTTCTATACTCTGGGAGTGCCTTGAACTGAGTCTGTGTTGAAGATGCGGACCATTTCAGTAGTATATGGAGCCATTACCTCTCCCACATTCCTCGTGGAAACCAGGCTTTGCACATAAGTCTGCTTCTGTTCTCCAAGGCAGGCTGGGAGCTGGCTGCGCTTTACTAGATCTGTCCAAAATTTTAAAAACATGACAGCCAATTGTTTCTTCCACAGCCGCTGTTGTATTGGCAACTTCTAACAGGATCTTCAGAAGTCTACTATTGGCTTTTTGAAGAGCATGTCTATATAGAAAAAGAAACATTTGTTAAAATGCTTAATTAAAAACTAAACAAAACATTCCGTTATTATGCCACAAGAATGCTTTACTTCCAGTGCTCAGGGCAGAGACAAGCAGGTCTCTCAATTCAAGACTAGCCAGATCTACAGAGCAAGTTCCAGGACAGCCAGGACTTCAGAGACACTCTGTCTTGATAAATAAACAACCAAATAAATAAAGAGCCAGTCAGTGGTGATGCATGCCTTTAATCCCAGTACTTGGGAGGCAGAACAAGTGGATCTCTGTGAGCTCGAGGACAGCCTGTTCTACAAAGCAAGTTCCAGGATAGGTACCAAAGCTGCAGAGAAACCCTGTCTCCAAAACCAACCAACAAACAAACAAACACAAAGAATGATTGAATACATAAATAAAGAAAAGAAAAAAAAAGAAATGCTTTGTAACTGGAAAATATATTAAAATAATCTGTAACTGCCCCACAATGAAGTTCTTTTGGTTTTGACTTACTGTAAAACTATATTATAGAAGCGCATATGTTCTTCTAACAGTTCTATGTAGCTTAAAACAGTTTTTGTTAAGTGTGCATTTTCTTGACCTAAAAGAAATAAAGTAACTAAGCCTTTATATTAATGATTAAAGTTTTAAAAAATATTAGAATGTGGTAGGAGTCAAGTGTGTGTAAGGTGTTGAGCTAGTAATACTTTTCATGGTTACTCATACAGAGGTTCAGTACTTCATCTGTTCATGTGTCAAATGGCATATTCTAATCAAAGTGGCACTATTTTTACAATTTGATGATGACGAGAGATGCCTAAATTTAAACAGAACTAATAGACAAAGTCTTGATACGAAAGGTCAACAGTGAAATCCCAGTCTGATAACACAAAAGCAAGTGTCACAGGCCTTTAATAACCTGTATTTATTTTAGAGACTAAGGTGTACCTAGTTTCACATATCACTAGGTATTTCAGATAATTGGGGGAAGAAAAGTTTTCAAATAAACAGAAATAAATTATGTCTTTCATTTTAAAAAGGTATGAACAGGTTTTTTTCAAATTTTTCTTTTTTTTTAATTAGATGCCACTGGTCAAGTATTCTCTGAAAAGTCTTGGCATTCAGACATAATCATTAGAATTAAAATACGAGTTATATATTTATTTTATCTATGTGCACAAGTGTGTGCCTGTGTGTTTATGTGCATCGTATGTGTGCAGGAGTACTCAGAAGTCTGAAGACGGCATTGGATCCCTTGGAACTAGAGTTGTAGGCTGCTGTGAGCTTCTAAGTGAGAGTTCTGGGAACTGAACCCAGGTCCTCTGCAACAGCATGAAGTAAGTGCTCTTAACCACTGAGCCATCTCTGTATGTTCCAGTCATAAACTGTATTGCCTAGATTTCCTTCTACCCTCTGTCTTACTCAAAAATACACACATTTTTAACACTAAACATGAAGATTGTGCAGGACCAAGCATTTTCATGAGGTTTCTTTTTAGAGTAAAATGAATCCTTTAAAACTGTGTCCAAAATGTATTTCCATAAATACTGATAAAAAAGATTAGTCTTAATAGTTTAATACACCAGCAGCAGTAAATGGCAGACTCCTGTGGTAAAAGTGTCTGACTCAACATAGTTCTACTTTCATCTTCACATGGCAGGAAATGACCAACAACCAGGTGAATGGCAGTCTGTCCCCAGGCACATGAACTATCTAGTTTAGGATGAGAGAACCAAGGCAAGTGCTTGCCTTTAGTAGTTTTCAAGTGAACGCTGGCGGGCTTCTATTTCTATACACAGATCAAGTTATCTGCTTACAGAATAAGAGTATTAAAAAAAAAAAGACCAAATAAGAAGTGAAACGTCTTATTTCTTTAACTTTTACTTAAGTTTTGTTCAAGTGTCAAATGCCATGATTAGAATATTGAACTATTAAGGACTAATATTCATTTTATCAATCTTACCATAAAAATTTCTAAAAAGAAAACATACAATGTGTAAAAAATATAGAATAGTGACAAGCAGTAATTTTATATTTTATTTTATATTGTCACGGTAATTCTAATTTTCACTCTTCCTGTTTTGAGATCCAATCTCCATCCAAGTTGAGGAAGGAAGAGAGGAGGACACAGAAAGGTGACAGTCACAGAAACTGATAGTAGATACTAGTTCTAATTTTAAAGAAATTATTTTAACTTAAATAAATTAAAATTTAATGCACTGTGCTTTTTAAACGGGTGTTTGAGTTAATATGAGCTATTCTCATATACTATAGTGTTATTTGTTTTTTTAAATTTCTGTGATATCAAAGCAAGGAACAGTTTTCTAACCACTGGAAGATCTACTCCTCTAAAAAATGTATGTTATGTGTATACATAAAATAAAAAAAAATTCAAATGTGAAATATTTAATCTATTGTTCTCTCAACTGAATTTATTTGACTATGAAATGAATGTTCTTAATGAAATAAACAAGGTATAAAACTCACAAGAAATGATTTTCAGTATAGTAAATAGCATTAAGAAAAATAAAGCTAATCAAGACAAATCCAATATTCAAATAACACCTAGATGGAATTAAGGTAAATATCTAATAAGTGTAGTGGTGCATGCATAAAAATTAGTCTATTTAATGATAAGAATTATCAACCCTTCCTATAGTATACTTATACGGAAAATTTTCATACACATTACAACTTTTAAGACAAAATACAAAATACAAATTTAAGACAAATACAAGATAAAATGTGTTTACTGAAAAGAAAACAACATTTGACCCTGTTCTGATCAAGTACACACTCTATACCTTTCATTGCACAGGTTTACATCAATTTCTGCATCTTCAGGTTTTCTCATCAATATTGTTTCTTCTGATGTACGTTCATCAACGTTTTCTGTGTCATTTTCATCCTGTGTAAGCTGGTGTAAAGGCAGAGAAGACAAGACAAAGAGAAAACCTGTCATCTTAGAAACAGCAAGTCCTACTTGTATACTGGTATGAGACGGAGCAAAGGTCTGTGCATGACGTCAGACACTGCTTGAAATAATATTTAACTCTACGGTATGTAGAGATTAGCATTACCAAGAAAAGATAAAATAGTCTAACAAACAGATGAGAAGAATGGGATGAGTCTGAAGGAATGCATGTTGTGAATGCATTTGACAGTGAAATTTGTTAGCTACTCCATGGTGCAGCTATTGCAATACCAGAATCAAATTACCAGTACAAGGAATGTGATCTTCCTTCCAAGGGTATAATCACAAACACATTAAGCTCAATGCCCATAAAAAATGTTATCTCACAACAAAAAGGAAGACAAACAAATCCTACTGCATAGTCGATCCACTGCTCCTAGGAAGAGCCAAAGTCCACACTACCTGTGTTTGAGTGCTGCTGTCACGCAGCTCACAACACAGCTCCTCTCTTCCAGCTAGAGACAGCTGCTTTAGTGCGTCCAGCTCCTCTAAGAGCACTCTTTCTCTTTCTGATACCACACTGTCAATATAGAGTGAAGAGCTCTAAATAAGAGAAAAGGTTGTAAGCAAATTTTGGTGGCGAGAGGACAAGAGCAGAAACAATTAGCAGATTTCATTAAAGCCCTTAAAACCAATAGGCCTTTGTTTAAACAATGATTCAACGACATTATAAGAGGCATAGAGGCAAATATAAAATTCAATGCAAACTTTGAAACTTTACAAAAGTTAATTAAAACATATAAAAGTCATGAATTTATAAAATATTTTTATAAAGTCATTATATAAATGATAGTTATTATATATTATATGATATATAATATAAAGTAATTACACAGTATACTTAAATACTTTTATATCAAATTTGCATTGAAAAATTCAGAAATCTGAATTCACAAAATACAATGAAGAAAAGCAAAACTGATTTTGCAAAAGATTGATATTTTATGTTCTAACCTCAAATTTGTCAATATTTTATTTATGAAGGAATTCAAGTAAAAGATTCTCTACTTTAACTTTTAGTTTTCAAAATTTAATTTAGTACTTTCATAATAGCTTTTCTGCAATGATTTTGCAAGTATATTTTATATAGCAACCAGTAAGAATATAGCTTCCAAATACCAAAGAAATTTTAAGTTCAGTCGAGAAAGGGTTAAGAGTGCTGCATTTTTTCAAATCACCAAGAAATGGTTCCCAGACAAAGTTCCAGAAGCATGCTACCCAGATTTACGTTGATCAGCGAGGTGGATTACAGAGAGTCAGATGTGCGCCTGTGACTGCTAACGGGCGGGTTCTCAGAGGTAACCTGACTATGGTGAGAGCTGCAGTACACGCACCTCAGCGCAGACTGCCCAAGCTGACGAGGTGTCCTTTGCTATGGACGATGGCATGACAATGAACTCTACAGACTGAGACGGACATGCCTGTGAGCTGAGAAAGTGTTGGCTACTGGGGCAACTCTACTGTTAAACAGTCCTAATTATTTTCAGATCTGGAAAAACAATTTTGAAGTTTTAAAAATGGTTACATAAAGAAAGTTATTTTAGTTGGGGAGGAAAGGGATTCTCAGAGCCAACCTCGGCTAACTGCTCATTGAGCCTCTTAATCTCCTCTCGTAGCTGCTCCTGGTCTTCTCGTTGTCTCTCCATCTGTTGCACGTGAGCCTGTCTCATCAGTTCTGTTGCCTGCTGGTGTTCTTCATACTGGCGTACAAGTTCTTGCCGCATATCTTCCAACTGTCTAGAAGTCTCCATATCTGATACTTCATCATGAATCTTTATCAGTAGAAACAAAAAGTTCAGCCACACACGAATTGTGGAAATTCGCCACTATTGACATTTTCTATCAATATGAAAGCATTTCTACTGAATTCACAGGACACCTGAATTTTTATCTTATTATAAAATGAAGCCTAAATTATTCTTAAAGATGTATTCGTATTCCTTTTAGTAAGAATTCAAAAACGATATTAGTTAACAACCATAAACCTGTTATTTTCAAGGAGGGAAAAATCTATCAGTTAGTATACCTAACTATAATTGTAAAGGAGAAAAATAAAAGATGTAAGATATTCAATATTTCCTCTACTTTTAATGAAGCCAGGACTCCATTATTCTTCTTGATGTTTTGTGTGGGGAAATGAAGATTGTTTTTAATCTTAAAACTGTACTTATGAAACAGGAGATTTATTTATTAAATTTACAGTACACAGCAGCTATAGAGCATTTCAAGAACAACTCCCTAAGAGACTATCATGTATTGGCCCTCTGACTCAAAACACGTCCGCTTACTTGTGGATCTATGAGCATCCTTGAAAAAACAGCAACTAAAGAGATGGCAGCTTTATTGATCTTCTCCTCAGTAAGAAACTATCTTGAACATTAATAATAAATTCGACTTCAAATGATTTTAGGGAAAGTAGGATTTATTTCTGTCCACTGAGACAGCAAACTGTTGAGGAAACAGGTCTATTTGTGAGTACACGAAGTAAAAGACAATTAGGACCTAGACAGCAAAATGTTTTACTTTCTTATACTGGTGACTATTTCCTTACATGTAATCGTATATTTAATGGAGCAAATATTTCAGTCATAGATATTGCCACATTACAGGACAATCTTTAACTGAAACACAGTTAAGACAGTTGTAACTTACGGTTTGTATTGTTTAAAAGTTCAATACAGTGCTTTTATTACATGACATATACTACCTGTGTGTGTGTGTGAGGGGGGGGGGACACGCATACATGCATGCACATGAACACAGGACAACTGTCCTCTCCATACACCATGTGAATCTCGGGGATTAAACTCAGTGTATCAGGTTTGGGGACTGAGTCACCTCACTGCTATGTACAATGTCTGTGAGGTGAATAGACTTGCTCATTCTGTGGGACTAACATCATTTAACTATATGCTTTATCGTTAATAAACTACAACAACGTGAGTACTACCCAACCTGGACTCCACACCTTTGTCCTGAAACAACACTACTGATAATGTATTAATAGTGAAGAAACCATATATGCTTTTATGAACTTCGTCTATTTTAAAAAATATCCCAGAAGCCATACTTACACTTTGTAGAACAGTGATTGCTTCATCTTTGGAAAATAGATTTTGTGAAAGAGTCAGCCCCTGGTCCTCTAACTTTAGGGATTCCTCTTCAAGAGTCTCACGATTAGACAGAGGAACTTCTTTCTTATGTTCTTCTAATTCATGGCTAAGTGGTTTAAATTGTTCTTTCAAATTCGTGTCAACCCCCAGAAGACTCTGTGGATCAAGCTGAGCCTGTGCTTTGATGTCATTAAAAGGCTGTTCTTGCGAACACGGAGCACGTGCTTGTTCTGACTGTAGAGAGTTTGCTTTATCTATGGCTAGTCTAGTGAGCTCTGTCTGCTGAGCAAATGCTATGCTCATTGACACGACGACCTAAATGAATAAAGGAAACAAACAGAAAGATCAATTCAACTCAATTCAATTCTTAAACAGCAGATGGAACTGAAAAAGCAGATTATTACTTAAGAGTATATAGATTTTAAAAAGCCCAACCTCAACCCAAACCAGTACTGCTTGGGTAGCCAAGAGCCTGACACTAGAAAGCCCAGAGACCTAGGGTAAAAACAAAACAATGCTCATCTAAAACCAAAACAACAACTACAAAAAAACCAAAAACCAAAACCAAAAACAAAAAACACCCCCCCAAAAAATCATGATAGCAACAAAACGACTCCTAGAAACTCTGCTGTACTCATGTACCAGCGCCTTCTCAGTAGTCATCAGAGAAGCTCCCTCCGGAAGCAGATGGGAACAAATACAGACCCACAGCCCGACAACTGAAACACTAGGTCTAACGAGATGTCTCTCAAATCGCTCCCTTCAGTGCTCAGGGAACTATGATAAAGAGGAGGAAGAAAGGATCAAAGAGCCAAAGGGTACTGAGGAGGCCACAAGAAATAAAAGAAAAAGCCCTTCTAAATCAACACGAACAAAGCTCACATGAACCTACAGAGACTGAAGCAGGTCCTCTGTCTACATACTATGCTTCTAGTTTAGTGTATTTTACAGGACTCCTGAGTGTGTGAGTCAGAGCGTCTTTCTGATTATTGTGCCTCTCTTGGGCTCGTTTTCTTGTGTGTTTGTTCTGTCCAATTTCATGTGTTAGTTTTTGCTTTATCTTACCACATCTTATTATGTTTGGTTGTTATCTCTTAGAAGCCTGTTCTTTTCTAAGGAGAGACAGAAGGGAGTGGATCTGATGGAAGGGGAGGTGGTGAGCAGCTGGGAGGAGTAGAGGGAGAGCAAACCATAATCAAGATAAATTATATAATAAAAAATCCATTTACAATAAAAAGAAAAAGCCTGGTCTTGTGCTTTTGAGTGAAAAGAAATCCTACAATAAAGTCATGGATGGATTCTACAATGAACGGGATGTCTACGTAATTAACGTAAGGGAACTCCTAAAATTTAAAAGAAAATAAGTAAAAAAGGATTCTAACAAACAAGAGCAAGAAATGTTCAGTTAAAAAACACAAAATTAGATAATAAAGTTTTAATATTTCTTTCTTCCAAGAAAGTTTGCTATAAATTTCAGTAAATATTTTTCCAGCTTTTTTCTTTCTCTTTGCATAGGGACATGGACAGATGCTGGTGAGAAATTGCCTACAAAAATGTAATCATACTCTACATTACAATCTGGTCATAGCCTAGCCTGAGAAAACACATTTCTAGGTCAAGAACAGATTTGTTATACATTATTTAAATTAATGTCTATTGGTAAATATTTAAAGATTGGTCTTCACTATTTGAAATGCTATATACCTCTGAGACCTACTTTGTAGCACTAACTGGCCATGAACCAGTAATCCTTCTGCCTTAGTCATCCACAGCTTTGGGATTACAGAGAATACCACTGCATCTGACATGGTTCCATTATGTTATTTTACGCTGCGGTATGATGGAGTCTTTGTAATTATATTATCATCCACATCCTTTCTTACTACCCTGCAAGAAACTTCTGTCAGCGGGCTACCTGGCTCTACAGAATGGTAAGGAGGATTAATTACATACATGGTTCTGACTTTCCACTACAATTATGACCCTGAATCACTGTCTATTTCCCCCAAGCACAGGTACATCCGAATTCTAACAAGGCCTTAAGTCTTTCAGAACCAAATGTGTCAATAGTTTTATATCAAGTTCTAAGCCCACAGAGCATTTGCAGTTAGAACAGCTGGCTGTCATGAACTCAGGGTGAGATTATGCCTGGAGTCTGACTTTTAGCTTTCGAAAACTGTGGTCTAGCCCATACAGATTAAACTGTGATTTAATCTGACTTGAACTTGATTCTAACTAACCTATGCCTTTCCATATGCTGTGTTCTCCTGAGGTGAGAGCTGTGTTTTGATAGAAATAATGCTGTAATAGCTCCACCACGAACAACAGAAATACCTTCAATCAGTTCTTAAAAACCTGTATTATTTCATTCAGTGTTCATTATAACATATAAGGTAGACACTGCTAATGTTCCAATATAATGAGTGGGGAAACTAAGAAAGAAATGAGAACACAAAATGAGTACATGATGTGACCCTAAAACACAAAGCAAATAGATGAAGGAAGGTGGGTTTGAGCTCTGCAATCTTCAGCTCCTCTGCTGAGAGGTAACATCACACCTTCCCATGATTTTCATATCTGAATAGACCTGTCTAGAAGTCAAACTCTATTACTCACTTGAAGAATATTTTGGTACCCAACCACTCGCCCAGAAAAATTTGAGTACAAAGATCACAGACAATATCAAGGTCACATCTAATCAATATTAGATTAGTGATTTGAATCAAATATGTTCAACTACAGATAGAACAAGCCCTTTAAACACACATTATGCTGCTTCTGTCCCAACAATCCCATGACTCCTTCACCTACCAAAATAGCCCTTTAGGTGGCTATGTTCCCCAAGAATAAAAGAATTTAGTGATGTTCTAGGCAGTCCTCTGGAACATATGCCATTACAATAAGATGTGAAAAGAGAAAAGGATTAGTTAAATAATACTTTTTCCTTTTTTTTTCTTTTTTTGTTTTTTGGTCAGCAGTATTTGGTTTAGCCTAGGTCTCTGGGCCAGCCTGCCTCTAGTTCTGGCACTCCAGACAGCATCAGGGGTGAGCTTCCTCTCATAGTCTAGTCTCAAGCTAGACCAGTCGACGGTTGGCTACACCCACTATACTCATAATGGGTGCCTGGCCCAATGGTCATCACAGACACTTCACCTAGCTACAATGGAAGCAGATGCAGAGACACACAGTCAATCACTGGGCAGAGCTTGGGAATTCTGTGAAAGATGAGGATACAGGATTGTAGGAGCTAGAGGGGTGAAGGACACTGCCAAGACAACCCACAGAATCAACTACGAGGGCTCAAAGGAGTTCACAGAGATTGAACCAAGAACCAGGGTGCCTGCATGGGACTGACATAGGCTTGCTGAATATATGTCTACAGTTGTGTAGCTTCGTCATCTTGTGAGACTCCTAACAGTGAAAGCAGAACCTGTCTCCAACTCTGTTGCCTGCTTTTGAGACCATGTCCTCCTACTGGGTTGCCTCATCCAGCATTAGTAGAAGGAGCCCAGTCTCACTGCAACTTGACACGCATGGCTGGTAGATATCCACGGGGGCCTACCCTATTCTGAAGAGAGGATGGGTGCAGGGTGGGGGGCGGAGGACTGGGAGGAGGGGAGGGAGAGGAAACTGTGGTTCTATCGAAATGTAAAAGCAAAAGAAATAAATAAAAATAAGAATAATACAATGCAGCAAAACATTGGCAACATTTTCTAACTAATGATCAAGACTTTCAAAGTGCTTTTGCTTTAATCCTCTGAATTGAATCTGGCTGAAGTCTTTCTCCACACTAAGAATAGAACACAGAAAGCAAAATTTATAAATGTAAAAAAGAAGTCAAGAGGCTGGGTGATGGCTTACACACCTTTAATCCCACCACACAGAAGGGAAAGGCAGCCAGATCTCTGTGAGTCTGAAGCCAGCCAGGTCTACAGAGCAAGTTCCAGAACAGGCAGGGCTACATGGAGAAACGATGTCTCAAAAAAATTGATTCATCAATTATTAATTAGTAATTTAAAAATATATTTTCTAAAAACAGAAAAAAGAAGCAACAATATGGGCTGGCAAGTGTTTACCCAGGATCGAAACCCTGGGCTCATTTCATTTCATAAAATCTCATAAAGAACTGTGTATGTTACAGGCCTGTCATTTCATAAGATCACATGAACAGAGCATATGTCACATGCCCGTCGTTTCATAAGATCACATGAACTGAGCATATGACACACGCCTATCGTTTCAAAAGATCACATGAACAGAGCATGTGTCACATGCCTGTCGTTTCATAAGATCACATGAACAGAGCATGTGTCACATGCCTGTCGTTTCATAAGATCACAAGAACTGAGCATATGGCACACGCCTGTCATTTCATAAGATCACATGAACAGAGCATGTGTCACATGCCTGTCGTTTCATAAGATCACATGAACTGAGCATATGACACACGCCTATTATTTCATAAGATCACATGAACTGAGTATATGACACACGCCTGTCATTTCATGAGATCACATGAACTGAACATGTGTCACATGCTTGTCATTTCATAAGATCACATGAACTGAACATGTGTCACATGCTCGTCGTTTCATAAGATCACATGAACTGAACATGTCACATGCCTGTCGTTTCATAAGATCACATGAACAGAGCATAAGTCACACGCCTGTCATTTCAGTAATCAGGAGGTGGAGAGAAGAGGATTAGAAATGCAGCCATCTCTGTTGAGTTGTGATTTAAGACACAGGGCCTACCAAACAAACAACAAAAGAGAGCCCCAAAACAAAAGCAAAGAAACAACGAGCTATGGGTGCCAGAGGGAAAAGTTGACTATCTTTCTCACCGCTGTTCAGTTCTAGTGTGGCTTCCTAGACAATGATGGAAATGGTTCATAAAATGACTGCGAACATCTTTGCAGGAGATACCACTGCAAAGATGCAAGAGCAATGGACGGAAAGGTTC